CACCAACAACAAAACGATACGTGACGTCTAAAGGTTCACCAACACAAACCTATACAGAACAAGATCCCACAAATAACTAGTGCCCACAGGCTGCCTAAGTATGGTCCCAATCAGAGACAACGAGAATCAGCTGCCTCTGATTGGGAACCACCCTGGCCAACATAGAAAACACGAACTAGAACAAAAACATAGAAACTACAACATAGACACTACACACCCTGGCTCAACTTTTAAGAGTCCCCAGAGCCAGGGCGTGACAACACCTCTGTTTTTCATCCTCTCCTTCTAATCAGGGGCTAATTCAGACCTGGGACACCAGGTGAGTGCAATTAACTACCAGGTAGAAATAAAAAACAGAAGTGTTTCGGCCCTCCAGGACCGGAATTGAAGAACCCTGCTCTATGGTATGCTTTAAATAATGTATGACACTACCGGTGTATGAATGTAATAATGATGGCTTATGATTACATGTAGGCCAGGGGTCCCCAATTACATTCAGCCATGGGCCGATTTTTCCTTGAGCGGATGGTCGGGGGGCCGGAACATAGTTATAAATAATTTGTACACTGCAAATTGACAGCATGAATCCCAAACATATATAGTATTTGACAAAAAACAGAATCATTTCAAACCTTGATTACATTGGGAAACGATCACATACAGTGCCTTCAGAAAGTATTCACACCCCTTGACTTATTCCACATTTTGTTGTGTTACAGCATTAATTAAAAATTGATTCATTTGGATTTTGTGTCACTGGCCTACACAGTGTACCCCATAATGTCAAAGTGGAATTATGTTTTTAGAATTTTTTGCAAATTAATAAAAAATGAAAAGCTGAAATGTCTTGAGTAAATAAGTATTCAACCCCTTTGTTATGGCAAACCTTAATAGGTTTAGGAGTAAAAATATGCTTAACAAGTCACATAATAAGTTGCATGGACTCACTCTGTGTGCAATAATAATTCAACATGATTTTTGAATGACTACCTCATCTCTGTACCCCACACATACAGTGCCTTCAAAAAGTATTCAGACTCCTTGACCTTTTCCACATTTTGTTACGTTACAGCCTTATTATAAAATTGATAAAATATTATTTTTTCATCAATTTACACACAATACCTCATAATGACAAAGTGAAAACAGAAATACCTTATTTACATAAGTTTTAAACCCTTTGTTATGAGACTGGAAATTGGGCTCAGGTGCATTATGTTTCCATTGATAATCCTTGAGATGTTTCTACAACTTCATTGGAGTCCACCTGTGGTAAATTCAATTGATTGGACATGATTTAGAAAGGCACACATCTGAGTATATAAGGTCCCAAAAACCAAGCCATGAGGTCGAAGGAATTGTCCGTAGAGCTCCGAGACAGGATTGTGTCGAGGCACAGATCTGAGGAAGGGTACCAAAAAATTTCTGCAGCATTGAAGGCCCTCAAGAACACAGTGGCCTCCATTCTTAAATGGAAGAAGTTTGGAACCACCAAGATTCTTCCTAGAGCTGGTCACCCGTCCAAACTGAGCAATTGGGGGAGAAGGGCCTTGGTCAGGGAGGTGACCAAGAACCCGATTGTCTCTCTGACAGAGCTCCAGAGTTCCTCTGTGGAGATGGGAGAACCTTCCAGAAGGACAACCATCTCTGCAGCATTACACCAATCAGACCTTTATGGTAGAGTGGCCAGACGGGAGCCACTCCTCAGTAAAAGGCACATGACAGCCCGCTTGGAGTTTGCCAAAAGGCACCTAAAGACTCTCAGACCATAAGAAACAAGATATTTCACAGTGGGTATGAGGTGCCTCTCCTTGTATGCATCTCTGTTTCGATGCCAAACATGCCGATGCTGTATCTGACCAAAACGTTCAATTTTGGTCTCATCTGACCAGAGCACCTTCTTCCAGTCATAATTTAAATGACGTTTGGCAAACTGCAAGTGCTTGCGTCTGTGTCTTGGGGTCAGAAAGGGCTTTCTTCTGGCAACCCTTCCAAAGAGCCTGTGGTTGTGGAGGTGGCGTCTGATGGTGCTTTGTGAAACCTGGTGACCCCAAGACGCCACCAAGGCCTGCAATTCTTTCACAGTGATTCATGGGAATTTTGTTGCTTCTCTCACCATCCTCCTCCCTATCTTGGGGGGCAAAATGCATTTGCCTCCTCTACCCGTTCCTCTACAGGTTTTCAACTGTTCCATAACTTTTTTATTTTTTAATAATTTAATGAGAAAACTAAAAGGTGTGCAACATGAAAATATTGTCTCATTTACGTTGTGTAATTTATTTACTGTCCCTAACTAGCCCCGGAGATAGGCTATCCAAAGTCAAAGTCAGGTCGCGCACCAGCTGGCTGAAGCTAATTGGCAATATAATTTGGCTACCTCTTCCCACCTGTAAACACGCACATGAGACACCCACATCAAACCACACCCCAAAACCAACTCACGTTTCAATTCAGTCATGGCCGCTAGCATTTCTTAATGAACCAAATCTAAAACGAGGCCAAATCAGGAAGTGCAGTCGCCCTTCAAAACTAACTAATGACATGCTGCACCTCTACCTTGCTACCTTTCAGATGAGCCAAGGAGGAGGACAGATGAGAACAGCAGGCCAGTGGAGCAATTAGAACAGCAGCAGCCAGGGGCAAATGGTAGGGAAGAGGATGATTTAGGTAACCCAGACACAAGCCCAAAACAAGTTAAGCTACCCCAGTATCCCCTTGACCGTTTTGGATTGCAAAACTAAAGAAACACACCAAACAAGACACAGAGACAGCAACAGAAAAGTAGATGGTGCAGAGAGAATCAATCATGTACACTCTTACTGACAGTTGTGGCTGCTTTGTGTGATGTATTGTTGTCTCTACCTTCTTGCCCTTTGTGCTGTTGTCTGTGTCCAATAATGTTTGTACCATGTTTTGTGCAGCTACCATGTTGTGCTGCTGCCATGTTGTGTTGCTACCATGTTGTTGTCATGTTGTGTTGCTGCCATGATGTGTTGTTGTCTTAGGTCTCTCTTTATGTAGTGTTGTGGTGTTTCTCTTATCGTGATGTGTTTTGTCCTATATTTTTATTTCATTTGTAATTTTTAATCCCAGCCCCCGTCCCCGCAGGAGACCTTTTGCCTTTTGGTAGGCCGTCATTGTAAATAAGAATTTGTTCTTAACTGACTTGCCTAGTTAAATAAAGGTTTAAAAATATATATATACAAGACACAGAGACAGCAACAGAAGAATAGGATATAATGAAGAGAGACACTAGAAGAACAGAACAGGCCATAACAGAAGAGGATAGACAAAGGAGACGGTAACAGACAAGACATAGACAGCAACAGACAAGACACAGACAGCAACAGACAAGACACAGACAGCAACAGACAAGACACAGACAGCAACAGACAAGACACAGACAGCAACAGACAAGACACAGACAGCAACAGACAAGACACAGCGAAAGTGACAGAAGAGGGCAGGTGGATTGAGCACACATTAGACTGCATCTCTTCAAGCTGCTCTATAGATTCTAATTCGTTTTATTTATTTGCACAAATTATAAGAAGTGAAATACAGACAGTGAAAAATAAAACATGGCTTACAAATAATTTGCAGGTGAGGTGAAAAATCCTATGAAATTACTATTAAAACAATTGTTTACTTTTACACTTTTTACAACCATGACAGGATGAGAGAGGAGAGTAGACAAGAGACAGCAACATAGAATACTAAGAGACAGCAACATAGAATACTAAGAGACAGCAACATAGAATACTAAGAGACAGCAACATAGAATACTAAGAGACAGCAACATAGAATACTAAGAGACAGCAACATAGAATACTAAGAGACAGCAACATAGAATACTAAGAGACAGCAACATAGAATACTAAGAGACAGCAACATAGAATACTAAGAGACAGCAACATAGAATACTAAGAGACAGCAACATAGAATACTAAGAGACAGCAACATAGAATACTAAGAGACAGCAACATAGAATACTAAGAGACAGCAACATAGAATACTAAGAGACAGCAACAGACGACACAGAGAAAGTGATGGAGAGAGTTAGACAAGGGGTGAGCACACAGTAGCCGACTAGGTGAAAAACTGTCGATGTGCCCTTGAGCAAGGCACTTAACCCTAATTGCTCCTGTAAGTCGCTCTGGATAAGAGCGTCTGCTAAATGACTAAAATGTAAAATGTAAATGTAGACTATCACTTAAAGCTTCCCTATGGATTCTAATTACTTCACAGTGTGTGTGTGTGTGAGTGTAATAATATAATATGCCATTTAGCAGACGCTTTTATCCAAAGCGACTTACAGTCATGTGTGCATACATTTTTACGTATGGGTGGTCCCGGGGATCGAACCCACTACCCTGGCGTTACAAGCGCCATGCTCTACCAATTGGGCTACAGAGAGAGAGAGAGGGTGTTTGGGTACTGTGGGACTTTAATCAGTTTTGTCTCAGTGGTTTTTGGCAATACACTGTAGATGTGTGTGTTCCAGAGTAGAGAGACCCACAGTATCAACTGTAATAGAGTACTGGCGGTGTCTGCTGTGGCAGGTGGGAAGGTGCGAGTTACCTGAAAAATATATATTCTCTCAATGTTCTAATCTCTCAATATTAATCTCAAAGTGCACCAAATTAATGTATTTATCTGTTGAAATTCCTTACATTTTTGCTAGGGGAGAATGGCCCTGGACCCCCCTACTGGCTTTGGGCTAAGCCCCTAATGTCTTCAAATCTTAGAAACGCCCCTGGGTACTAAAGGGACATTAAATAGTGAATTAATGTAATGACATATAGGGAAGGTAAGATAGGGTATGGTAAGGATAGTGGAGTGAGATAATATAAAGTGAGGGGTTGTATTGGGTTGCATTGTATTGTGACTGCATCTGGATCCTGACTCTTTTTAATACCAGGATGGATTTGATTGATGTGTATTAGCCTTTGAACTCAGACTGTTGATCGTCTGAGTAATATATCTGTTATATCTCTGCAGGAAGGAAGAGGCTTGAAGAGAACACATAGAAGACGCTTGTGACAGCTGAGGTCAGATGACGGGAATGACCAAACAATGGACATAATGGATGAAACGGTACTGTATGTTTATTTGAGAGGACACGGGAGGAGAGAGGCAGGAGAGAGGAGGTGTGGTATGTATGAGAGGGAAAGAGGAAACGTGGCAGGGACAGAGACAGTTCACATTAACTATTTATAGGAGAACATGCATGTCTGTTTCTGTTATTGCGCATGCGTGTGATAATGTCAAGTGGGGAGTGTGTGTGTACTGTGCATGTAAGAATATAGCTATAAGTACAAGCACCTGTGCTGTACAAAATTCAGCATAATGTCTGAATGGTAGTATACAGAGCAGAGGCATTATGAACTTTAATCTTGTATGGGATGTTGTTCCATGTGATATTTTAGAAAATGGTGGCACTGAGTGTGGAGGATGGCCCGTGGACAGGATGTGCGGTTCTCTTCCTGCACTCCTGTCCCGCAGTGAACCTGCTCTCTCTCTACAAAGACCAGCAGGGCAAGTTCAGCGTCTTCAAAGTCCTCAAGCTGACACTCACAGGTGAGCCACATCAGGCCATCCGGTCTCCAGCTCGCGTGGGGAGCATGCTGAGCATTGGTTGAGGCAGATGTATTATTGATAGAAAGAAAAGCTTGGTGGTCATGGGGAGTGAAAAAGGGGCTTGTGTTGCAGGGTGACCTGCTTATCGACTGAGGGGATGAATATAGTTAAAAGCTTATGAAAAACTGCTGTCACATAAACGCAGGGAGATCTTTTAGGAAGTCATAACACGGTTGAGCTCAGAGCTCTGCCTGGACCAGAGTAGTGGAGGGAGACACAGTCAGGTTATATTTGTTTTATGGTCACTGTGGAAAACATGACTATTGTGCCAGTGAATTGCTATGGTTACCTCTAACCTCCTACCTTTGACCTTACCTGACCTGTGTCCCAGACTCGGTGGGGGGGCTGGAGGGGTACGAGATCCTGAAGCTGCACGATGCAGATCCTCTGCTGGGTGTGGAGTTGAAGTTTGTGGATGCGGCTGCGTGCCGCAGGTTCCTGCAGAGCTATGGCTCCGGTGCCGTACAACAGTCCCTCACCCAGCACACCTGCCGCCTCCTCGGCCCACAGGAGCTTGCCGTGGAAACCCAGCTCAAAGCCGGGACGCACACTTTGGACTTTTGTCTGGACGATCTGGAGCTTTGTCTGCAGCACATCCACCAGTCACAGGTAATATACTATATACAGGTTATAATCCATATATAATGGTGTTGTTACTGGTAATATATGATAAACAGATCACAATATATAGTGTATACCTGTCAGGTGCTCTGCTGTGCCTTATGTCTTATGACTCACTATGAGGTGTTCTAAATGTTGATGTCACTTCCTGTCAGCCGGGGCGCCTACGGCATGATGAGATTGCTGAGCTGGAGCAGCAGCTGCAGAGCCAGGCCTTGGGTCACGTACCCCAGCCACCCACCCTTACACAGGGAGAGCCCCCCGTGCCCAGCAACTGTTTCCTGTTCCAGAAGAGGGTGTTTGGTGAGTTGGCTCTGACTGCCATGGCTGCTTCTTATCATCAGTGGGGGTTCAGCGGGGAGCTGGGACTCTATGTCCCCTGGGTCCTCTACATTCATACACTGGCATAGAACAGTGTTTCTCACCTCTCGGTCAGTAGACCACCACTGGTCTATGGAAGGTTATTGACCTGTGCCTCAAATAGTTTGATGACACTTTTAGTCAGCTCAAGTGCTGGTTTTAATCTAAGTGGTCCTTTGAGGAAGAGGACCATTATAGCTTGCCCAATCTCTGGTATAGAGGACACTCATTATGGGTCATCTAGTACACCCGGGACAGCAGGGTAGCCTAGAGGTAAGAGAGGAGGGCCAGTATCTGGAAGGTTGCTGTTGTTTTTTACTTACTTACACCACGTCTTACATGCAGGGCCATATATAGACTCTGGATACATGTCTCTAACAGCCCCTCCCACTCTGTCTCCTGACCTATCAGAGGACCGCATGCTGGCGGCAGGGGGACCTGCAGCGGTTCTCCAACGGCGTTGGGCGGGACTGGAGGAAAGTGGGGCGGGCCTTGGGCAAGAATTGCCGTGCGCTGAAGGGGCCGGCCATAGACAACCTGGCCTACGAGTACGAGAGGGAGGGGCTGTACGAGCAGGCCTATCAGCTGCTGAGCCGCTTCATCCAGGCGGAGGGGAGGGCAGCACGGCTGGGCCGGTTGGTCAGAGCACTGGAAGAAAGCAAACTCACCATCCTGGCTGAGAACATTTTGGACATCCAGCCCCGGGAGTGACACTGTCTGTCACACTGTCTGGGGGTGTGTGTTGGCCTATGTGTGTATGTGTGAAAGAGTGGTAACGTGTGGGTGGCATTGCTTGTGTGAGCAGAAACGTGTGTGCACCAACTTACCTAGGTGCTACCATGTGTCTGTTCTGTGTGAGCTTTGGGTCTGTGAGCTTGATTGTATGTTTTTTTATTTGAGTAAAAATGTTTTACTTCTTACAAAACCAATAGTTCTCATAATTGCTATATCAAGTCATTGTTGTCTCTGGTTGGAGAGCAAACTGAAATCACTGTGGCCTTTTCTTCTTCCGCTTTAAACCCAACCCCCTTTCTCCACCACAGACTGGACCATTCATGGATTTGGTCATTCTACCAATAACCATTAGTTATTACAAAAACTAGATTGATATTGAACAATTTGTAATGGTATTGGGGAATATTTGTTCCGAAATCCAAATAAAGTGTTGGGTTTATAAAAACGAATTGCCAATTGCTTTCATTCACATCGAGAGTTGTATTTCACTTAGCACAATCCAAGATCCTGATAAAACCTTTTACTATGGATTACGTAGAATCTTTAGGAAACCTGTTGATCCTGCTTTCTGAAATAGCCTACAGTACCCCCCATGTAAAAAAGTTGTCAACTTTGGGAAATGGGCAGGATCTAATCCATGTACACACACACACACACGCACCAAATGTTGTACTATCCTTGTGGGGACCTAAAATTGATTTCAACTCAAAATCCTATTTTCCCTAACCCCTAAACCTAACCCTAACTCCTAACTCTAATTCTAACCCTAATTGTAACCTTAAACCTAACTCTTAAGTTTAAAACAGCCTCTGTGCTCGTGGGGACCTGGGAGATGTCCCCACGAGGGATAATTTTCCTTGTTTTACTATCCTTGTGGGCATATTTGGGGAAACTCAGCCCCCCCCCCCCCCCCCACACACACACACACACTGTGACACATTTTGTGTTGTTTTGGCTCTGTTCTCCAGCACTTTGAATTTGAAATGATACAATGACTATGAGGTTAAAGTGCACACTGCCAGCTTTAATTTGAGGGTATCTTCATCCATATCGGGTGAACCGCTTAGAAATTACAGCACTTTTTGTACATAGTCCCCCCATTTTAGGAGACCAAAATTATTGGGACAAATTCACTTATTTGTATTAAAAGTAGTAAAAGTTTAGTATAGGTCCCATATTCCTAGCACGCAATAATTACATCAAGCTTGTGACTCTACAAACTCGTTGGACACATTTGTGTGTGTTATGTTGCTTGCATGTACAGTACCAGTCAAAGGTTTGGACACACCTACTCATTCAAGGGTTTTTATTTATTTGTACTATTTTCTACATTGTAGAATAATAGTGAAGACATCAAAACTATGAAATAACACATATGGAATCATGTAGTAACCAAAAAAGTGTTAAACAAATCAAAATATATTTTAGATTTTAGATTCTTCAAAGTAGCCACCATTTGCCTTGATGACAGCTTTGCACACTCTTGGTATTCTCTCAACCAGCTTCATGAGGAATGCTTTTCCAACATATGCTGAGCACTTGTTGGCTGCTTTTCCTTCACTCTGCGGTCCAACTCATCCCAAACCATCTCATTTGGGTTGAGGTCGAGTGATTGTGTAGGCCAGGTCATCAGATGCAGCACTCCATCACTCTCCTTCTTGGTCAAATAGCCCTTACACAGCCTTGAGGTGTGTTGGGTCATTGTCCTGTTGAAAAACAAATGATAGTCCCACTAATTGCCCAAACCAGATGGGATGCCATATCACTGGAGAATGCTGTGGTAGCTATGCTGGTTAAGAGTGCTTTGAATTCTAAATAAATCACTGACAGTGTCACCAGCAAAGCCCCATCACACCTCCTCCTCCATGCTACACGGTGGGAACCACACATGCGGAGATCACCCGTTCACCTACTCTGCATCTCACATAGACATGGCAGTTGGAACCAAAAATCTCAAATTTGGACTCATCAGACCAAAGGACAGATTTCCACCGGTCTAATGTCCATTGCTCGTGCTTCTTGGCCCAAGCAAGTCTCTTCTTCTTATTGGTGTCTTTTAGTAGTGGATTCTTTGCAGCAATTCGACCATGAAGGCCTGATTCATGCAGTCTCCTCTGAACAGTTGATGTTGAGGTGTGTCTGTTACTTGAAATCTGTGAAGCATTTATTTGGGTAGCAAACTGAGATGCAGTTAACTCTAATGAACTTATCCTCTACAGCAGAGGTAACTCTGGGTCTTCCTTTCCTGTTGTGGTCCTCATGAGGGCCAGTTTCACCATAGCGCTTGATGGTTTTTGCGACTGCACTTGTTCCGTATTGACTGACCTTCATGTCTTAAAGTAATGATGGATTGTCGTTTCTCTTTGCATATTTGAGCTGTTCTTCCATAATATGGACTTGGTCTTTTACCAAATAGGGCTATCTTCTGTATACCACCCCTACCTTGTCATAACACAACTGATTGGCTCAAACACATTAAGAAGGAAATAAATCACAAATTAACTTTTAACAAGGCACACCTGTTAATTGAAATGCATTCCAGGTGACTACCTCATGAAGCTGGTTGAGAGAATGCCAAGAGTGTGCAAAGCTGTCATCAAGGCAAAGGGTGGCTTCTTTGAAGAATCTAAAATATAAAATATATTATGATTTGTTAAACCCTTTTTTGGTTTCTACATGATTCCATATGTTATTTCATATTTTTGATGTCTTCACTATTATTCTATAATGTAGAAAATAGTAAAAATTGAGAAAAACCCTTGAATGAGTAGGTGTGTCCAAACTTTTGACTGGTACTGTATGCATTGGTGAGTGTGTGTGTGTGTGTTTATGTCTGCAGTGCAGTATATGTAAAAGTGAATGTGTGTGTGTGTAACTATGTGTGTATGTGTGTGTGTAACTCTGTTTGTATGTGTGCATACACACATAGAGTGAGTAAGGAATATGTTTCTAAACACTTCTACATTAATGTGGATGCTACCATGATTACGGATAGGCCTGAATAAATCGTGAATAATGATAACTGAGAAAGTTACAGACGCACAAATATCATACCCCAAGACATGCCAACCTCTCACCATTTCAATAACAGGGGAGGTTAGCATTTTAGGGGGGGGTATGATATTTGTGTGTCTGTAACTTTCTCAGTCATCATTATTCCCGATTTATTCAGGACTATCCGTAATCGTGGTAGCATCCACATTAATGTAGAAGTGTTTAGAAACATATTCTATTCTTATTTACAATGAAAGTGACTCCAAAATGACACAATACATTATTTACCATTCATTTCTATTGGGCACAAAATAATCTGAAACACAACCAAAACAAACAGCAAATGCATCCAACAAATGTGTAGAGTCACAAGCTTGATGTAATCATTACGTGCTAGGAATATGGGATTATTTCTCAACATAACGGTTCACCCGATATGGATAAAAATACCCTCAAATTAAAGCTGACAGTCTGCACTTTAACCTCATAGTCATTGTATCATTCCAAAGTGCTTGAGTACAGAGCCAAAACAACAAAACGTGTCACTGTCCCAATACTTTTGGAGCTCACTGTATGTCCTGTTGCATTAGGGTAAGAGCAGGAGAGTTGAGTTGAATTGTTGGGGCTTAGTTTATGAAGGCTATAGGTTCAACCGAGGAAGGTTGTTGCGGAATTTACTTGTAAGGCTGTAGGTTTAACTGATAATTCAGGCTTTTGGTGTCAGTATAGTCCATTGTAAAAAACCCCCCACCTTACCACTCCACTCTTTGCACATGTGGATTAGAAGCTTTTAATGTGTACACACATACACACATAGAGTTACACACACATGCACAGAGAGACACCGACACAGAGACACACACAGATACACACACATTCACTTTTACACATACTGCACTGCAGACATAAACACACGCACATACACTCACCAATGCATACATGCAAGCAACATAACACACACACACACACACACACACACACACACACACAGGATAAAAGCAATTGCTAGATTCATAATTAATACAATTGAAATGTAATGATATTGTGCTGGACTACCTTGTGTAGCCTATTGCTTCTGTTGACATTACATGAGCAAGGCCCTTAACCCTAATTGCTCCTGTAAATCGCTCTGGATAAGAGTGTCTTCTAAGTGACTAAAATGTCAAATGTAATAAAGTCTAATGTTTACCCACTCCTCGTTGATCATACACAGCCTATTTATAAGGACACGGAAGACAAGAATAGCCCGCTTCCAGTATCGTGCGAGACCACGCCTTTTATGTAATAAAAAGGCCTATTATACATTGTAGATTTAGCGAAATTATTCCACGAAAGCAAAATGTGTCTATAAAATCCCCCTTTGAATGTGGTCGCATCGGACGATTAGCGCCTGCCTTGGCTCTGACGTCAACGAGATTGTCTGCACTAGGTGAGTCTCGCGCTCACTGCCTTCCCTTCGCCTCCTCTCTCGGTCGGTTATTGTGAATAGATTGAACGATGAGATCGCTCGCGTTCGCTTTCATCAGTGCCGCCCTATAGAGACCCCCCAGCCCCGAGGCTCGAACACAACGACCCCACCCCCCAGCTCCAAGAGGGACGGAGAAAAAACCCTGCTCGGACCCGGCTTCATTTGCCCTCAATCCGGGCCTCATGCTGTAGCAGACTGAACGAGCGAGAGAGAGAGACAAACACACAGATTGAGTCGGCGAGGGACAGGGCGGAATAGAGGAGAAGGGATTGTTCATTCGGCTCTAGACATGGGATGTACACTCAGCGCCGAGGAGCGCGCTGCTCTGGACAGGAGCAAAGCCATCGAGAAAAACCTGAAGGATGATGGAGTCACTGCCGCAAAGGAGGTGAAACTGCTACTGCTTGGTAAGACACCGTTTATAACGGGGCTTCCCGTTCTGCACGGTTCGGTTGATGTTGATGTAGATTGCATAGAGCCGGGCCGGGGCGGCAGGCGCTCTCCGTGGTCCTGATGTCATGTCACCCTAAAGACAACCGACTCTCACTCTGCTCTCTATTCCCTTTAGGGGGAGGAGAATCGGGCAAAAGCACCATCGTCAAACAGATGAAGTAAGTGCTTTTTTTTCTGATATAGGCGTCTTTGACGAGGCCTGAGATTGCGCCTCCCCTGCCCATAGTGAGGCTGAGCTGCTAGCTCCGCCATGTTTCCTCAGAGGCCGTACCTCTGCTGGTGATTCGAACACCTCTTGTAGACGGTAATCGGAGGCGGTGCTCACGGTCAGTTGCAGGCCACCGGGGTGCTGTCCACTGATATGGTGCTGAAATTTACCCAGAGGTTTTTCATGTGTCTATCGAAAAAGAGGGAGGGCGAATACATGGGTGTTTGTGACTGTGTGTGTGTGTCTGTGTTTGTGTGCAGCCTGTATGTGTGTATTAGTGATGTCACTACAGCACCATTAGCAAATATCTCTGGTTTAATCTTAATGGCTTTAAGTGCCTGATATCGCCCAGTGTACTTTGCCTATAAAGCGGATTTACTCAGAAAATATGGCATCTAAAACCTCATCTAAACCTTTCCCTTTCTCATCTAAACCACTCTCTTATCTAAATCACTGTTCTTTTTCTAAACCCTGTTGCTAGATTTCTTCTTTAAAGAAGAACTCTGTATCCAGGGCCCAACCAGAAAAGCATATTATATAATATTTTCATGCACATAATAAAACATGGCTGTTGCTATGCAGACATCCTCTCAAAAATCCACAATATCAATTTTTTTGGGTTCTGTGCACTCACTGTACCTCAGCACACACTCATCTGCCCCACACACACCCTGCTTTTTCCATCACACACACTGCTCCCTCCACTCCACTCTGTTTCCATCCATTCTAGCACTCTCTCCATATTTAATTATCCTGGGGGTTCTCCCTAGCGGTACAGACAGTTACCCAAAGGCATCTCTCAGGAGCCGCTTCTGTTGTGAACTACATATGTTACATTGGTTATATTATATAATGCCAGGATCGGGACAGGGAAAACTGATCCTGGAGCTGAGCTAGTATTTTTCCTTGTGTGTGTACACATGTGTGTGCATTTGTGTAGTTTTGTATGTATATTGATAATGGTGTGTGTGTGTGGATGTGCTTACATCCGTACGTTTATTTGCTCAAATTTTATTGACACGATAAACCCCTTGAGATACCCCATCATGTTTTACAAAGGAGTCTTGTTTTCCAAAGGAGTGTAATAATAATAATAATAATAATAATAATAATAAATATACACTACATGGCCAAAAGTACGTGGACACCTGCTTGTAGAACATCTCATTCCAAAATCATGGGCATTAATATGGAGTTGGTCCACCCTTTGCTGCTATAACAGCCTCCACTCTTCTGGGAAGGCTTTCCACTAGATGTTGGAACATTGCTGTGGGGACTTGCTTCCATTCAGCCACAAGAGCATTAGTGAGGTCAGGCACTGATGTTGGGCGATTAGGCCTGGCTCGCAGTCGGCGTTCCAATTCATCCCAAAGGTGTTCGATGGGGTTGAAGTCAGGGCTCTGTGAAGGCCAGTCATGTTCTTCCACACCGATCTTGACAAACCATTTCTGTATGGACCTAGCTTTGTGTACAGGGGCATTGCCATGTTGAAACAGGAAAGGGCCTTCCCCAAACTGTTGCCACAAAGTTGGATGGACAGATTCGTCTAGAATGTCATTGTATGCTGTAGTGTTAAGATTTCCCTTCACTGGAAGTAAGGGGCCTAGCCCGAACCATGAAAAACAGCCCCAAACCATTATTCATCCTCCACCAAACTTTACAGTTGGCACTATGCATTGGGTTAGGTAGCGTTCTCCTGGAATTCGCCAAACCCAGATTCATTCAGACTGCCAGATGGTGAAGCGTGATTCGTCTCTCCAGAGAATGCGTTTCCACTGCTCCAGAGTCCAATAGCAGTGAGCTTTACACCACTCCAGCCGATGCTTGGCATTGCGTATGGTGATCTTAGGCTTGTGGGCGGCTGCTCGGCCATGGAAACCCATTTCATTAAGCTCCTGACGAACAGTTATTGTGCTGACGTTGCTTCCAGAGGCAGTTTGGAACTCATTAGTGAGTGTTGCAACCAAGGACAGACGATTTTTACGCATTACGTGCTTCAGCATTTGGCGGTCCCATTCTGTGAGCTTGTGGGGCCTACCACTTCGCGGCTGAGCTGTTGCTGCTCCTAGACGTTTCCACTTCACAATAACGCCACTTACAATAACAGCACTTACAGTTGACCAGGACAGCTTTAGCAGGGCAGAGGAAATTTGAGCTCTTCAGTACGGGCCATTCTACTGCCAATGTTTGTCTATGGAGATTGCATGGCTGTGTGCTCGATTTTATACACCTGTCAGCAACGGGTGTGGCTGAAATAGCAGAATCCACTAATTTGAAGGGGTGTCCACATACTTGTAGTGTAGCTGTGAGCAGCAATGAACGGGGTTCTCAGGATGACAGGAAGGACACAAGATCAAAGTGGATTTACAGTGGTTTAAATATACACATAAAAACTGATTTTCATTTGTCAATAACTCAGCCATCTTTTGACCTTTTCTCAAAGTACCATGGGCCTACATTCCGAATTTGGTGTCATTTGGTCCTATGGTTCATGAGTAGAAGATGTTTTAAGTATTTTTAGCATATTTTAGCATATTAGCGTTTGAGCTAATATGCATCTACTGGTATAGTGTGGCCATCTTTTGAATGCATCAATGTTATTTTCTCAAACTCGTTAGGGACTATTGTGATGAGTCCAAAGACCACATTTGGAGTGAATCTGATGTTTAGTCCATGAGAAGAAGATTTTTTATGATTATTTTAAGCATTAGCGTTACATAGTAAAAAAAAATGTGAATTGTTAATAGTTTCCTTATTTTTTTTAAGACATCAATGCCAAACATAACATGGTTCATCATGGTAATGTATTTGATGACCACAAAAAGTTTCAAGCTGATAGGCCATTGTGAAGTGGATGTATCAATAACTCAGCCGTCTCTTAACCAATCCCTTAGCTTTTCTCAAACTAAGTTGTTATTTGGACTTATGGTTCATGAGAATATCTTTTTTAAAGGTTTTCCCAAATTTCCAAGATGGAGGAAAATCTATCCCGACGGACCTAATGGGTCCTTGCGGCAAATTTGTTCAGCTTGCGGAAAGACACCTACATGCAAAGTTTCACGTCACTAGGTCAAATGGGGCGGATATGAGGGTTTAAGTGAGACTGCTTATAACAGCACCACCTATAGGCCAATCGGTGCCTTCTTTTGACCAAGTTAATCATGGCGTCTAGTTTCTCTGTGCCAAATTAGAAAACGTATGTGTGTGTGTGTGTGTGTGTGTGTGTGTGTTTGTATGTAGCAAGGTACAGTGGGGAAAAAAGTATTTAGTCAGCCACCAATTGTGCAAGTTCTCCCACTTAAAAAGATGAGAGAGGCCTGTAATTTTCATCATAGGTACACGTCAACTATGACAGACAAAATGAGAATTTTTTTTCCAGAAAATCACATTGTAGGATTTTTAATGAATTTATTTGCAAATTTGGTGGGAAATAAGTATTTGGTCAATAACAAAAGTTTCTCAATACTTTGTTATATACCCTTTGTTGGCAATGACACAGGTCAAACGTTTTCTGTAAGTCTTCACAAGGTTTTCACACACTGTTGCTGGTATTTTGGCCCATTCCTCCATGCAGATCTCCTCTAGAGCAGTGATGTTTTGGGGCTGTCGCTGGGCAACACGGACTTTCAACTCCCTCCAAAGATTTTCTATGGGGTTGAGATCTGGAGACTGGCTAGGCCACTCCAGGACCTTGAAATGCTTCTTACGAAGCCACTCCTTCGTTGCCCGGGCGGTGTGTTTGGGATCATTGTCATGCTGAAAGACCCAGCCACGTTTGATCTTCAATGCCCTTGCTGATGGAAGGAGGTTTTCACTCAAAATCTCACGATACATGGCCCCATTCATTCTTTCCTTTACACGGATCAGTCGTCCTGGTCCCTTTGCAGAAAAACAGCCCCAAAGCATGATGTTTCCACCCCCATGCTTCACAGTAGGTATGGTGTTCTATGGATGCAACTCAGCATTCTTTGTCCTCCAAACACGACGAGTTGAGTTTTTACCAAAAAGTTCTATTTTGGTTTCATCTGACCATATGACATTCTCCCAATCCTCTTCTGGATCATCCAAATGCACTCTAGCAAACTTCAGACGGGCCTGGACATGTACTGGCTTAAGCAGGGGGACACGTCTAGCACTGCAGGATTTGAGTCCCTGGCGGCGTAGTGTGTTACTGATGGTAGGCTTTGTTACTTTGGTCCCAGCTCTCTGCAGGTCATTCACTAGGTCCCCCCGTGTGGTTCTGGGATTTTTGCTCACCGTTCTTGTGATCATTTTGACCCCACGGGGTGAGATCTTGCGTGGAGCCCCAGATCGAGGGAGATTATCAGTGGTCTTGTATGTCTTCCATTTCCTAATAATTGCTCCCACAGTTGATTTCTTCAAACCAAGCGCTGCTTACCTATTGCAGATTCAGTCTTCCCAGCCTGGTGCAGGTCTACAATTTTGTTTCTGGTGTCCTTTGACAGCTCTTTGGTCTTGGCCATAGTGGAGTTTGGAGTGTGACTGTTTGAGGTTGTGGACAGGTGTCTTTTATACTGATAACAAGTTCAAACAGGTGCCATTAATACAGGTAACGAGTGGAGGACAGAGGAGCCTCTTAAAGAAGAAGTTACAGGTCTGTGAGAGCCAGAAATCTTGCTTGTTTGTAGGTGACCAAATACTTATTTTCCACCATAATTTGCAAATAAATTCATTACAAATCCTACAATGTGATTTTCTGGATTATTTTTCTCTCAATTTGTCTGTCATAGTTGACGTGTACCTATGATGAAAATTACAGGCCTCTCTCATCTTTTTAAGTGGGAGAACTTGCACAATTGGTGGCTGACTAAATACTTTTTTCCCCCACTGTATATTGATAATGGTATACAGCAATCTGTATTATTAAAAAGCAAGGCCCTCCTCTGAATGTTTTAATAGAACTTGATTATAGTGTAACTACGTACAACTAGCAAAGTAGTACACAAGAACACATTTAAAAGTGTGAACACCTTAGATTGCTGAATTGTGAAAAAAGGGAAGAAAATTTTAAAATTTGGGGGATCAATTTTTAAGTACCTGGCCTACTTCGATTTGGTGTCATTTGTCCTAGGGTTCATGAGTAGAAGATTTTTAAGTATTTTTAGCATATTTTAAGCATATTAGCGTTGAGCTAATATGCATCTACTGGTATAGGTGGCCATCTTTTGAATGCATCAATTTATTTTCTCAACTCGTAGGGACTATTGTGATGGTCCAAGACCACATTTGGAGTGAATCTGATGTTTAGTCCATGAGAAGAAGATTTTTATGATTATTTAAGCATTAGCGTTACATAGTAAAAAAAAATGTGAATTGTTAATAGTTTCCTTATTTTTTTTAAGACATCAATGCCAAACATAACATGGTTCATCATGGTAATGTATTTGATGACCACAAAAAGTTTCAAGCTGATAGGCCATTGTGAAGTGGATGTATCAATAACTCAGCCGTCTCTTAACCAATCCCTTAGCTTTTCTCCAAACTAAGTTGTTATTTGGACTTATGGTTCATGAGAATATCTTTTTTAAAGGTTTTCCCAAATTTCCAAGATGGAGGAAAATCTATCCCGACGGACCTAATGGGTCCTTGCGGCAAATTTGTTCAGCTTGCGGAAAGACACCTACATGCAAAGTTTCACGTCACTAGGTCAAATGGGGCGGATATGAGGGTTTAAGTGAGACTGCTTATAACAGCACCACCTATAGGCCAATCGGTGCCTTCTTTTGACCAAGTTAATCATGGCGTCTAGTTTCTCTGTGCCAAATTAGAAAACGTATGTGTGTGTGTGTGTGTGTGTGTGTGTGTTTGTATGTAGCAAGAATCATGTAAGCTGCAAGTTCTCTATGGGGTTGAGCAACTCTGGAGAAAATACTGGAGTATTTGTCAATAACAAAGTTCCACTTGGTTATACCTTTGGGCAATGACACAGGTCAAACGTTTGTAAGTCTTCACAAGGTTTCACACACTGTTGCTGGTATTGTTGGCCCTTCCTCCATGCCGATCTCCTCTAGAGCAGTGATGTTTTTGGGGCTGTCGCTGGGCAACACGGACTTTCAACTCCCTCCAAAGATTTTCTATGGGGTTGAGATCTGGAGACTGGCTAGGCCACTCCAGGACCTTGAAATGCTTCTTACGAAGCCACTCCTTCGTTGCCCGGTGCGGTGTGGTTTGGGATCATTGTCATGCTGAAAGACCCAGCCACGTTTGATCTTCAATGCCCTTGCTGATGGAAGGAGGTTTTCACTCAAAATCTCACGATACATGGCCCCATTCATTCTTTCCTTTACACGGATCAGTCGTCCTGGTCCCTTTGCAGAAAAACAGCCCCAAAGCATGATGTTTCCACCCCCATGCTTCACAGTAGGTATGGTGTTCTATGGATGCAACTCAGCATTCTTTGTCCTCCAAACACGACGAGTTGAGTTTTTACCAAAAAGTTCTATTTTGGTTTCATCTGACCATATGACATTCTCCCAATCCTCTTCTGGATCATCCAAATGCACTCTAGCAAACTTCAGACGGGCCTGGACATGTACTGGCTTAAGCAGGGGGACACGTCTAGCACTGCAGGATTTGAGTCCCTGGCGGCGTAGTGTGTTACTGATGGTAGGCTTTGTTACTTTGGTCCCAGCTCTCTGCAGGTCATTCACTAGGTCCCCCCGTGTGGTTCTGGGATTTTTGCTCACCGTTCTTGTGATCATTTTGACCCCACGGGGTGAGATCTTGCGTGGAGCCCCAGATCGAGGGAGATTATCAGTGGTCTTGTATGTCTTCCATTTCCTAATAATTGCTCCCACAGTTGATTTCTTCAAACCAAGCGCTGCTTACCTATTGCAGATTCAGTCTTCCCAGCCTGGTGCAGGTCTACAATTTTGTTTCTGGTGTCCTTTGACAGCTCTTTGGTCTTGGCCATAGTGGAGTTTGGAGTGTGACTGTTTGAGGTTGTGGACAGGTGTCTTTTATACTGATAACAAGTTCAAACAGGTGCCATTAATACAGGTAACGAGTGGAGGACAGAGGAGCCTCTTAAAGAAGAAGTTACAGGTCTGTGAGAGCCAGAAATCTTGCTTGTTTGTAGGTGACCAAATACTTATTTTCCACCATAATTTGCAAATAAATTCATTACAAATCCTACAATGTGATTTTCTGGATTATTTTTCTCTCAATTTGTCTGTCATAGTTGACGTGTACCTATGATGAAAATTACAGGCCTCTCTCATCTTTTTAAGTGGGAGAACTTGCACAATTGGTGGCTGACTAAATACTTTTTTCCCCCACTGTATATTGATAATGGTATACAGCAATCTGTATTATTAAAAAGCAAGGCCCTCCTCTGAATGTTTTAATAGAACTTGATTATAGTGTACTAGTACAGACTAGCAAAGTGGTACACACACATTTAAGAAAGGCACATACTGAGGAAGGATATACAGCTTGAACATCTGTGAAAATATAAGAAAAGGTAATTGAACATTTTACAAGAATTTGTTACATAATGTGTGAACCACCTTACTTTGCTACGTAATGTGTGAACCACCTTACTTTGTAAGAATAAGATCTTCATACATATGGGTTATGCACCTTTTTAAGTCGATGGTATATTTCTGAAGTGTATTCCAGACTAGGCTGCAGAGTTGAGTACAGGCTCAAGTTGTGTGTTCTCAGCGATGATGTGGTTGTTACTGGTGTAATGGATTTATAATCCGATCCTCAATATCAGAGCATTTCACGTCAATGTTGTTAAGAGTGGTTTAAATGTACAGACCACCTTTGACATTACAAATGTCAAACCTAGAGTGGCTATATTGGCTGCTGCTGATGCTGCTGCTTATGTGTGAGTGTTTGTGTGTGAAAGGGAGAAGAAAAGAGAAGAGGAGTGGTACCCAGTGATGCGCTGCGTGTATTTGGGTGTGTGCTAAGGAGCAGGCGCTGCTTGACACTCAGAGCTCAGAGACATCCCTGTTCTTGGTCACATGCACACGCGTACTCTAGAGACACCAGCACACAGGCACATACACTAAAGCGTCTGCTGCAATGTGGGTTCACTGAATTGTGAATGTTTGTGTGTGTGCACTCATGCATGCACACTTAGCCTACGTACAGTACGTGTGTGTTATTTTGTATGTGTACTGATGTGTGTGTGTGTGTGTGCAGGATTATCCATGAGGATGGTTTTTCTGGGGATGATGTGAAGCAGTATAAGCCTGTGGTCTACAGCAACACCATCCAGAGCTTGGCTGCCGTCCTCCGAGCTATGGACTCTCTGGGCATCGAGTATGCTGACAAGGACAGAAAGGTGGGTACATGCTCCCTGCACAGGGTAGGGTTCATCCATAGTGTACAACCAATGGCAATTTCAAAACCTTACTTCAAAGTGTACTGTAAAGCAGACCTCAATGAGGATTCCAGTGAAGTATGGTGGTACACATCCAGGAATTCAGCTATACAGTCTTCAGCTCATATGTGTCTTAATAAATCTATGCATGTTTTTTTGTTTGTGTATGTGTGCTTGTGTACGTGTGTGCTCATGGGTTTGTTTGTGTGTGTGTGTGTGTGTGTGTGTTCATGTGTGGTGATGCATGGTCATATCTTTTGTACATAATATCCAATGTATGTGTGTGTCCAGGCGGATGCTAAGCTGGTGTGTGATGTGGTCACTCGTATGGAGGACACAGAGCCCTACTCTGCAGAGCTGCTGACAGCTATGAAGCGTCTGTGGGCCGATGCCGGGACCCAGGAGTGTTTCAACAGGGCCAGGGAGTACCAGCTCAATGACTCCGCTGCCTAGTGAGTACACACTAAGGGACCAAACATATCGGAATGCATGAAACTTGAAATTAAGCATAATTCATGCACTGACGTCAATGGGAGATTTGTGAGAAAGTTCCAGTTTCATAACACACTCACATAAACAGAAAATTGGAATTTGACTCCATTAGCTGTCTGTTCTTGAACAGTAACACAGTGCAAAGGTTAGTCTTTGCAGTGACTGCGTTGGTTAGTCTTTACAGTGCAAAGGTTAGTCTTCGCCCTGTATTTTTGTAGCTACACTCTTAGAAAAAAGAGATCCAAAAGGGATCTTTGGCTGTCCCCATAAGAGAACCCTCTTTGGTTCTAGGTACAACCCTTTTTGGTTCCCTCTGTGGAAAGGGTTCTACAAGGAACCCAAAAGGGTTCTACTTGGAACCAAAAGGGTTTTTACCTAGAACCAAAAAGGGTTATTTAAAGGGTTCTCCTATGAGGACAGCCGAAGAACCCTTTTAGGTTCTAGATGGCACCTTTTTTTCTAAGAGTGTATTACTGAAGCTCTATTTCTTCCTTTCTCTATCCCTTCCCCCTCCTCCCTCCTGTTTCCATTTCCCCCTCTCCTTCCTTCTTTCTCTCATTAGCTACCTGGACAGTTTAGACCGTATTGGTGCTGGTGACTACCAGCCCACTGAGCAGGACATCCTGAGAACCCGAGTCAAGACCACTGGAATCGTGGAGACCCATTTCACCTTCAAAAACCTGCACTTTAGGTTAGACCCACCACACACATAGATTTACACATACAGTACACAACCAGTCCAGTATATTTGTTTGTAGCATATTTGTAGTGTATGAATAAATGACTGAATGAATGAATGAATGAATGAATGAATGCAATTTTATTTTCGTATCAAATCGACAATTGGCAACCCATCCCTTATGGGATTAATTGACACATAAACAAACATTACAATAATTCACTGTGGTAATTAAATGATAATTCTTCTTCCGGTGTTCTCTGCATTGTGCATCGCATAAAGAGTGAAAAAATGTAAGGTAAAATTCAATACATAATAGTAAATAAGGTTATCCAAACAATAATTATATCCCTAGAGCAGTAAAATAATATACATACATACATACATACATACATACATACACACTGTATATATACACATACATACAGAACATATACAGATAAATAAATACAGAAAACAAACGAAACAGAAGGCATTTGAACCCAGTCTGGCACCAAGAGAAGATTCATGTGGGAGACAAGTCTATACACAATGTATATACACACACGTGCCATTTACCACATAGAAGCTAAATATTTGTACAATTTAATTATAGGTAGCCCTTTTTCTTTTATTCCAAGCTTTATCTAAATATTCCGCAAACGGAAATACACAATGGACAAAAAACCATTTTAGTTTCTCCTCATCGCTCAGCCACATAATGCCAGGGTATATCTGGTGTGCTTTCTGGAATAAGAGCAAGCCTATATCGTGGTAGAAAGGGCAATAGAGGATACAATTAGTTTAATTCTCTATTTCTTCGAGGTCACAATAGTTACATAGTCTTTCCTCTTCCATTTCACCACAATACCGACCTATTTCAATACGCAGAGGCAATATCCCTGATCTTACCTGTGCACATAGCGATCTCTTGCTTTTAGGTAAGTTATACATAATATATCTCTCACACACGAATTCACCCTTAATCAAACAAAAGGTTCTCAATTTAGGTTCATGATTAATCTCCTCCACCCATTTTTTTTCATATTGCATCAACAGTTGTATTTTAATCATATCTACAGTTGAAGTCGGAAGTTTACACATACACCTTAGCCAAATACATTTAAACTCAGTTTTTCACAATTCCTGACATTTAATCCTTGTAAAAATTCCCCGTCTTAGGTCAGTTAGGATCACCACTTTATTTTAAGAATGTGAAATGTCAGAATAATTGTAGAGAGAATGATTTATTTCAGCTTTTATTTCTTTCATCACATTCCCAGTGGGTCAGAAGTTTACATACACTCAATTATTATTTGGTAGCATTGCCTTTAAATTGTTTAACTTGGGTCAAACGTTATGGGTAGCCTTCCACAAGCTTCTCACAATAAGTTGGGTGAATTTTGGCCCATTCCTCCTGACAGAGCTGGTGTAACTGAGTCAGGTTTGTAGGCCTCCTTGCTCGCACACACTTTTTCAGTTCTGCCCACACATTTTCTATAGGATTGAGGTCAGGGCCTTGTGATGGCCACTCCAATACCTTGACTTTGTTGTCCTTAAGCCATTTTGCCACAACTTTGCAAGTATGCTTGGGGTCATTGTCCATTTGGAAGACCCATTTGCAACCAAGCTTTAACTTCCTAACTGATGTCTTCAGATGTTGCTTCAATATATCCACATAATTTTCCTTCCTCATGATGCCATCTATTTTGTGAAGTGCACCAGTCCCTCCTGCAGCAAAGCACCCCCACAGCATGATGCTGCCACCCCCGTGCTTCACGGTTGGGACGGTGTTCTTCGGCTTGCAAGCTCCCCCTTTTCCTCCAAACATAACATTGGTCATTATGGGCAAACGGTTCTATTTTTGTTTCATCAGACCAGAGGACATTTCTCCAAAAACTACGATCTTTGTCCCCATGTGCAGTTGCAAACCGTAGTCTTGCTTTTTTATACAGCAGTGGATTCTTCCTTGCTGAGCGGCCTTTCAGGTTATGTCGATATAGGACTCGTTTTACTGTGGATATAGATACTTTTGTACCTGTTTCCTCCAGCATCTTCATAAGGTCATTTGTGTTGTTCTGGGATTGATTTGCAGTTTTCGCACCAAAGTACGTTCATCTCTAGGAGACAGAACGCATCTCCTTCCTGAGCGGTATGACGGCTGTGTGGTCCCATGGTGTTTATACTTGCGTACTATTGTTTGTACAGATTAACTTGGTACCTTCAGGCATTTGGAAATTGCTCCCAAGGATGAACCAGACTTGTGGAGGTCTACAATTTGTTTTCTGAGGTCTTGGCTGATTTCTTTTGATTTTCCCATGATGTCAAGCAAAGAGGCACTGAGTTTGAAGGTAGGCCTTGAAATACATCCACAGGTACACCTCCAATTGACTCAAATGATGTCAATTAGCCTATCAGAAGCTTCTAAAGCCATGACATCATTTTCTGTAATTTTCCAAGCTGTTTAAAGGCACAGTCAACTTCGTGTATGTAAACTTCTGACCCACTGGAATTGTGATACAGTGAATTATAAGTGAAATAATCTGTCTGTAAACAATTGTTGGAAAGATTACTTGTGTCATGCACAAAGCAGATGTCCTAACCGACATGCCAAAACCATAGTTTGTTAACAAGAAATTTGTGGAGTGGTTGAAAAACAAGTTTTAATGACTCCAACCTAAGTGTATGTCTCCCTTAATTTGGTTTTCATACAGATGTTCACAGTCAGACTGTTGAAAAAGGTCAGACATTTCAGTTGCCCAGGCTCCCCCTATGGCAGTTGGCATATCCAACAGTCTATTCCATTCTCACCATAATGCTTTCCATCTCATCTCACAGGGTTCCCAGCCCATGTCCCCAGTTATTGCAAGTATAGGTGGAAACCTGTGGACACCTAAAAAGTAACGTACTTTGTGTAACATGTATGTTATGGCACGTTTATAACTCTCATGTTTCTTTCAGGCTGTTTGATGTTGGAGGTCAGAGGTCAGAGAGAAAGAAGTGGATCCACTGCTTTGAGGATGTGACGGCCATTATCTTCTGTGTGGCGCTAAGTGGCTATGATCAGGTTTTGCATGAGGATGAAACAACTGTAAGTACTTCACACACACTTCATACTACTCACAAACACGCCACACATATTCTCAAACATACATCTCATCTGTCTTATTTGGTATTTTCTGCAGAATCGCATGCACGAGTCCCTCATGCTCTTCGACTCTATCTGTAACAACAAGTTCTTCATCGACACCTCCATCATCCTCTTCCTCAACAAGAAGGATCTGTTCGAGGAGAAGATCAAGAAGTCACCACTAAGTATCTGTTTCCCTGAATATACAGGTAAGACTTCCCTCCAGTCCGCATACACACAAACTCAGACAGACACACATGCAGAACAGATGGTAGTAAGTCTCTCTCACTCTCTGGCGCTGTATCTCTCTTCCTCCCCCACTCTTCTTTCTCCTCTCTCTCGCCCTCACCCACCTTTCCTCCCAATCTCCCCATAGGTGCTAACACTTATGATGATGCTACCGCATACATTCAGGTGCAATTTGAGAGTAAGAGCCGTTCGCCCAACAAGGAGATCTACTGTCACCTGACCTGTGCCACTGACACAGGAAACATCCAGGTAGTGTTTGACGCAGTCACTGACATCATCATCGCCAACAACCTGAGGGGGTGTGGCTTATACTGAGGCCCAGCCCTGCACAGAGGTTGCATTGGAGGGTGTGAGGTGGTTAATAATAATAATAATTTTGATGATATTAAAAGGCATAATTATGTAAATCTACATGTCCAAAGGGACCCAAAGAGCTGCCGCCAGACACCACGACGGATTCTTTGCCATGTTCTGTTCCTCTATTCCTTTTTTTTTTTTTTTCAGAATTCCACCACCCCTCTTTTGTTTATTTGTTATCAACATGTTTCCTACTGAATGTCTTTCATGTTTTGTTGTTGATTGTATGAACAACTGTAAGCTGTAAATCAGAAAAGGGGAGGTCCAAGGGGTATATTCAGTTTTCGTGCCATGTTTCGCAACAAATTAGATAGAAATGTTATGCATAGAGCAGAGAAGGTCCTATTTTCCTTGTGATAGAGATTTGTGTCCGTTCTATACATAACATCTCTATCTGCAACATCCAGAACATTGAGCCCCACTGAATGTACCCCTTGGTGCTCCATTTGCAGAGGTGATGTTGTGCTCTAGGTGAGGATGTAATAGGGGAGGTGTTGTACTGGTGGCTGGGGCTCGTAGTTGGGGTTCTGTCCAGCGTTGGATAGAACACCCCTCTCTTTTGGACTCACACAGGGCTGCTCTACATGAGCTCCTTCTGCTCGGTTTTATTCCTCTCTCTTTCAAACATCCAGAAGGGTGGGCGGTTCTGTTTGTGTGGCAGGCTTTGCCATTGGCCTCCTGCAGTGTGATGAAATGCCTGTCAGCCAATGATATATCTGTGTCGGGAAAGTGTGATATCAGTGCCAACCTTCTGAGCATGACAGATAGGGGAATATAATTAGAGATCATTGATCACTTTCACACTATCTTTACAATATAACGTAATTGAAGGGACGCGTACGCTTTATTATCATCAAATTATTTATGGATTTTATTTCAACCTCATGCCCTCCTTGCTTCCTCCTACCTCCTAGAATCCCGTGCCACATATTTATTTCCTGTCCTGTCAGACCGGTGGAACACCACTTCCTGTCTCAGTCTCAGAGGGTTTAGAGCTGCTCTGATGGACCGTCTCAAATGTCACCTCCCATGTAGTGTACTATTTCTTCAAAAGTAGTACATAATATGGGGAATAGGTTATCATTTTAGACTTGCACACTCAAGTCCACTGGTCAGTGATGTATCATATGCTTGTCTCCTGGTCTCCTCTCACTTATCACTTATCACTGAGATGAAAGGACTGGATAGGTTTCCACCATGTTGTTTTCACTCACTAGTCCTTACATATTTGTAGTTTTAGGAGAGGACAGCCACAGACCACTGACCAGTCGCTCTGCTTGTTCAAAAGGGTCTTCCTAGGTGCTCTTTATGTAATAAAACATTAATATGTGAATGCTCAGTTATTTGGAAGTTGAGGTAATTTGTAGATTAGATAAGCCACACAGTGCTTAGCTCAGGATGACCCTTGTGAGCAAGCATGCTAAATTCCAAATCCATCCATACTCCCCCCTCTAGGCATTCCTGTAGATTTGAAAGGATTTGATTGGTTTAACCTTTTCATATCCATAACGGAAATGTATAATTTCCTTTAGTATACATGTTCTCTGAGTTTACTGATGGACAAATCTGAAGATTTATTTTACATCGCCAAAGCGTTTGTCTTCAATGTGAGTTTTTGATATTGTACTATATTTAGTCTTTGGACACATGGGGTTACTGTTTTTACACATTTCATGAATCAAGTCCTGTGAATACATGTTAAAATGATCAGATCTTTTACATTTTTGGTATATAGATTGTCCGGACCAATATATATATATATAACAATATCTAAAGAAATCCACACACACACCCCTAGAGTGCATGCAGTATAAGCAAATCAAATACAAGTCAATAGAGTCTGCAGAGTGAGTGATTTTACAGCATTCTCCCTCTTTCTCAGATCTTAAACATGTTCACATCTTAATCATTTTTGGTATATAGATTGTCTGGACCAATATATAAATATAAAAACTATATCTAAATAAATCCACACCCTCTATCTCACAAGCAAATTCAATGGAGTCATTTTATGAGATTTTTATCTGATTCTCAGATCTAAAACATGTTCAAATCTTAATAATTGTCTCGACCAATATATATAAAAACAATATCCAAAGAAATCTACAGACACTCCTAGAGTATATTAAACAGCATAAGCAAAGCCAATGTAAGTCAATGGCGAGTGAGGCCTGCTACAGCATTCTTTCTCTCCCTCACAAGCACACGCGTGTACACACACCACAGACGTCAATGCACACCTGTGTGTGTGTGTATGTCTGTGGTATGTGTGTGTACACGTGTGCTTGGGAGAAAGATACGAATACGCTGATAAAATGACTCCATTGAATTTGCTTATACTGCATATACTCTAGGGTTGTCTGTGTGAGAGTTTGTGGATTTATTTAGATATTGTTTTTATATCTATATATCAAACATTATTATGATCTGAACATGTTTCAGATCTGAGAAAGAGAGAAAATGTTGTAAAATGTTTCTCTCTGCAGTCTCCATTGGATTTGCAAGTACTGCATGTACTCTTGGGGTGTGTGTGTGAGAGAGTGAGTGTGGATTTCTTTCGATATTGTTTTCATATTTATATTGGTCCGGACAATCTATATACCAAAAATTATTAAGATCTGATCATTTGAACATGTATTCACATGACATGATTTGTGTCATGTGTAAAATACAGTAACCCCATGTGTCCAAAGACTAAGTATAGTACAATACAGAAACGGCTGTAGTTCACAAACAACAATGAGTTGAATCATCTATTTGGCGTATTTTGGGCTTAAACAGGTCAAATAACAATACTATATGTTTTTAAACAATTTAATTCTGAAATGTATTTCAAAATACATATGCTGAAGTCATTTGAATGATTTTTATTGTCTCAAAATCCCAACTTTGGAAGTATGATAGATAATGACAATCTTAAAATGTCAATGTGGCCTGTCTATACACTTGTACTAATTATGTTGACACCAAATGTAATGCATTAACACCAAATAGAATGTGTTCAGTGGCACAGTTTGATATTGTACTTAATATAGTACAAGGACATGAATGGGTTAGGCAATATGGTAATTGCGTCACCTTCTCTTCTGATAGAGTGGGTGGTATTTTTGCCACATTGCTTATATATATATCCAATAGTTTTAGATCTACAGGCGTGCCAAAGCGGCAGGGGCTGGGGTAGAGTTGGAATTTAGCAGCAGTCTCTCTGTGGGGAGTTTGGGTTAACCATAACCCCTACCCCCTGACCTCTTAACCCTGAGCAGGCCACAGTCAAACCCCGGCTGTCACGTTCTCTCTTTTCACAGAGGAAAAGTACTGCTCTCCACTCATTCACCTGAAGATCCTATCCCCCCATTCCTCTATACTCCCTCTATCACGTGTCGTTCCTCATTTCTCTCAATCCCCCTTTCCATTTTCATCTTAAACACCGTACTGTATATATATGATTATACCAGATTTCTTTTTTTTTACTGTGAATGTTTTTGTTCTGCACTCCTTCCTCCTCCGTAGTTTATTGGTTGCTCTCTCATGTGGAATGTTTGTGCTGAGCCAATCGAATGTTGTGTTTACATTAAAGCCACACTTTTCCTAACTATTCCCACGGCCATATTGAGAATCTTTTTCATGTCTGTCTTTTTCCCAGTGCTTAGTTTGAAATCAACCCCCAAGCTCTTCTCATATTCTCATTGATCTGAAATGATCAGATGGGTGCAATATGGTAATAGCTCCATTGACTCTTATGGTTGGATCGGTGGACTTTCCTCCATACTGCCTACATGTCTAATCCTCTCAGATCTACCAGAAGTGTCCAGGGGTAGATTTCAGACTGAAAATAGGTCTTATATGCTTCATGAGAGCATAAGGCCTAGATTCAATCCAATCTGCGTTATAGCGCCATTGACATTTAAAGATAATTTCCGATTGAGCCGACATATGCAGCGTTTACCGTGAATGCGGTCTCCACGAAAACGGAAACATTGCCTTTAAAAGGTGCATGGCCAAAAAGGGCAGATTGGATTGAATCTAGCCCTAAGACTTTTCCATCTACATATGTATGGAACACCATGTCAGGAAATATTGGAAAGTAGCAGATAAACAGAATTCCATTTTCTAAGACAGTCTAATCTAGAAGATAGTGGTCTTTGTCATCAGTTAAAATGTGTTATTTATATATTGAATGATGAGTCTTGATCAGCCGTCTGACCTGGTTCTGTCAGTTTAATGGATTCTATGTTCATTACTGGGTCATTTCAGTGTCAGAAAACATAGGCACACTGCTCTCCGCCAGAGAGTATAGCGCTCGTCTGTCCGTTTCAATATGATGGATTCCGTTAAAAGGCTGGGCTTTCAATATAAATTAATGACAACAAAAACACATCTTTGAGAGAACACTTTAATATTTTACATTTAATATGTTACATAATATTTATTAATCCAAGCCAAAAGGCTAAAATCCATAATCCCACTGTTCCACAATCCCATAGTTCCATTACTGCTGTTACTCCTAGCTCTGATTGGCTGGATGAGGCCGCTAGAGGTAGAAGTAGCATTAACTACAGATCTAGGATCAGAACGCCCTACCCTCAAACCTAACTAACCATTTGGGGGTTGAACAAATATATATCCCTGTATCTGTAGTTAGGGGCAACCTCTTCCTGTTATGAGGCCAGCAGACGTCAGAAGCAGCAGGGACTTCCTCTCAGGGGATCCACCTGCACACTCCTCTTTTTCCTCAAAGACCAATCAGCATGAGTCTAGTCCCATGTAACATGTGCACCAGCACAGTCTCTGGGTAGCAGGGTTAGAGGCGGAGCCTCTTGATGTCCTCACTGCGGAAATCGATGCGGAGCGCCAGAACCTGCCGGACCTCCGCTGGGGTCAGACGCCACGTTAGAGGACCAGAGTTCGGGCCCCAGTAATCCAGGATCTCTGTTACCTAGACACACAAAAACATACACACAGTTCTGAGAACAGGCCTGTGTATACAGAGACATGAAAGTCTACAAAGTGAGAGGTCAGTGGTAAATAGATAGTGCATTCAGAAAGTATTCAGACCCCTTGACTTTTGTTATGTTACAGCCTTATTTTAAAATTGATTTAAAACACATTTTTTCCTAATCAATCTACACACGATACCCCATAATGACAAAGCAAAAACAGGTTTTTTGTTTTTTTTTGCAAATGTATTACAAATTAAAAACGGAAATATTACATTTACATAAGTATTCACACCCTTTACTCAGTACTTTGTTGAAGCAACTTTGGCAGCGGTTACAGCCTCGAGTCTTCTTGGGTATGACGCTACAAGCTTGGCACACCTGTATTTGGGGAGTTTCTCCCATTCTTCTCTGCAGATCCTCTCAAGCTCTGTCAGGTTGGATGGGGAGCGTCGCTACACAGCAATTTTCAGGTCTCTCCAGAGATGTTCGATCAAGTTTAAGTACGGGCTCTGGCTGGGCCACTCAAGGACATTCAGAGACTTGTCCAAGTGGGCTGTCCTGCCTTTTACTGAGGAGTGGCTTCCGTCTCGCCACTCTACCATAAAGGCCTGATTGGTGGAGTGCTGCAGAGATGGTTGTCCTTCTGGAAGGTTCTCCCATCTCCACAGAGGAACTCTGGAGCTCTGTCAAAGTGACCATCGGGTTCTTGGTCACCTCCCTGACCAAGGCCCTTCTCCCCCGATTGCTCAGTTTTTTCCAGGCGGCCAGCTTGAGGAAGAGTCTTGGTGGTTTCAAACTTCTTCCATTTAAGAATGATGGAGGCCACTGTGTTCTTGGGGACCTTCAATGCTGCAGACATTTTTTGGTACCCTTCCCCAGATCTGTGCCATGACACAATCCTGTCTCAGAGCTCTACGGACGATTCCTTTGACCTCATGGCTTGGTTTTTACTCTGACGTCAACTGTGGGACCTTATATAGACAGATGTGTGCCTTTCCAAATCATGTCCAATCAATTGAATTTACCACAGGTGGACTCCAATCAAGTTGTAGAGTAGAAACATCTCAAGGATGATCAATGGAAACAGGATGCACCTGAGCTCAAGTTCTAGTCTCATAGCAAAGGGTCTGAATACTTGTGTAAATAAGGTAATTCTGTTTTTTATTTTTAATACATTTGCAAACATTTCTAAAAACCTGTTTTCGCTTTGTCATTATGGGGTATTGTGTGTAGATTAATGAGGATTCTTAAAAAAACATTTTAGAATAAGGCTGTAACGTAACAAAATGTGGAAAAAGTCAATGGGTTTGAATACTTTCCGAATGCACAGTATGTGACCCCATCTATGTGATTGTGTGTGGGTTGAGGATTGCTTGTGGGTTGAGAAATGTGTGTGTGTGTGTGTGTGTGTGTGTACTGCAGATTACCCGCTCCAGGTTGAGGATGGTGGCCATCTGAGTGAGCCGAGCAAACTTGTCCCTAATAGTCCAGGTGGTGACAGTAGTGAGGTAGGCCACCAGAGAACGCAGCTCCTTATCAAACTGAAGCCCTCCCAGCTAAGAGACAGGTGCAATACGGGGTTCAAATCAAGAGCATGAAACAGAAAAAAGGAATCCAGACAAGCAATTAAATATTTAAACATAGACCACATCAAAAAGGATCAAACGGAGAACATCCCAGAAAAAGAAAGTGCTGATACATGGCCTGCAATAACATGATTTAGTAGTTGCACTAAATTACAGCACACACACACCGCTTAAAGAGGCAGATGCCAAGGGGAAAAAAGCTTAATCTACCATCCTTCTGGAATCATAAATAAAACATTAAAAGAGGGCCTCTTTCATTACATCACAGATGTGCATGCGGTAGGTGTGATGCCACCCTGTGGTCAGGCCTGGGATATCTCACCCTGCTGAAGGTGCACTTCAGGACCGTCTTCTCCATCTCCATGGAGACCAAACTGGTCATGAGGCTGGTCAGTGTGTCGTAGATAACTGAAGAGAGCCCCGCCTGATAGAACAAGAGAGAGAGATTATAGAGAGGGGGAGAAGAGGAAAAGAAAGAGTTTGTAAAATGCTAATGTAAGAGATGTATTCCTGAGGCTAAGCAGAAGTATGGTTACCTTGAACTCTGCCATGAGCTGCTGGAGGTTGACGATGAGCTGCTGGACCCAGGGGTCGTTGGCCTCGTACTCATTAAACTCCTCCTGCACAACAAAACAGCACAGTCACACACTGCGGTGAAAGGGTGTGGCCTAGTGTGTGTGTGTCGAAAAAAATAAAATAAAATGTATGCACTCACTAACTGTAAGTCGCTCTGGATAAGAGCGTCTGCTAAATGACTAAAATGTAAATGTAAATGTGTGTGTGTGTGTGTGTGTGTGTGTTGTACCTCCTCTATGTTGTGTGATATGGACAGGAAGCTGCTGATCCAGGGTTTGACCTGAGGCTTGATGGCTGTGGTGTTCAGCTCCGTCAGGCCCTCCTGAGGGTCACAACTGAGTTAGTTCTACTCCATACAGATTAGACACACTGGTGAGGTTTTGTAGTTGTATATTGTCTATGCATGTAAATTGGTACACAATTCAGTTTATCACTGTGACTTACAAATAAATGCTGCTGCTAGTACTACTACTGTTACTATTATTTATTGTACAATGAGGTCAAAGACCCCCTTAACACAACTGCACAGATACAGATCATGTGTCTCTCTGATCTGAGTTTATTTGTGTATCCTCCAACCTGCAAGAGATCCTTGAACTTGCTGGACGTGTTGACGAGGTCTGACAGACAGCTGTCAATCTTAGCTTGCTCTCCTGATCCCGCCCCCTGAGTGAACAACTTGGAGCAATCACTCTGAGAAAGAGAGAGAGGGGAAAACTTCATTATCTGTGGTATACTATACATAGTGTGTCTTATTGAAATGTTATTCATCAGAAAACTAAAGAGATGCTATAAACAGTCACCTAACTCACCTCCAGGTTCCTCTTCAGAGTGGTGATGTTCTCACTACACACCTCCACGTTATTCAGAGTCACCTGGGATAGAAAGAAAGATGGGTGTGAGTGAATGTGTCTGTCTGTTGCCTGTTCCGTGTTGATCATCAGGAATGCTGCCTTAGTGTGCTCTCTGTGACCAGCTTGTGTTTTAGAGTGTGCGTGTTTCTTACCAGGGACGATGCCTTGGCATGTTCTGTGCATTCAATGCTCAGTGTGTCGGTAAGTGTTTGTGTGTGTTGGTAAGTGTTTGTGTGTGTGTGTGTGTACACAAGTCCCTCACCAGGAAGGCAGCCTTGGCGACCTCTGCGCTGTCAATGCCCAGGTTGTTGAACTTGCCCTGCTGCAGGCTGCTCTGCATCAGACTCACTGCACTGCTCACCCCACGCTGGATGTCCTGCAGCGTGGTCGCAGGGAAGCCCTGCCTCAGCTTATTATACAACACCTCCCTGAGAGAGACGGAGAGAAAGGGAGGGGGGGGGGAGAGAAGCATGGATTGGTGGAAGACGGAGAGAAAAAGGAAGGTGTGAGAGCTAGAAGGAGTTTCAAATGAGTGTTCAAATAGTTGATGCAGTGTGTGTGTCTACAGTCTACCTAAAGTCAGACTCTAGCACTGAGGTTGAGTGGTTGATCATTGCACACAGGCAGTCAATGCTGGAGCTGGACAGGGCTCTGCTGATGCACTTCTTCACAATGTAGAAACAGTCATCCACCATGCTGGACGTCAGCTGACCCTTCTCATATGTATCCATAGCCACAGCCTGAGAAGAGAGGGGCAAAGGGAATGAATATAATCATTATTACTATTATGTGGTTACATATGTATACTGTGTATCAAGGGTATTCAAATCCGGGGTTGAGGTCGACAGCATTGCTGGTTTTCATTATTTCCTTCTAATGAGGGGCTGATTCATGGCTAAATGAAACCCCTGCTGTATAGTTAGATGTGCTGGCTAACCTTGCTGACGGTCTCCCTCATGTAGTACTCCTCCATTGGAATGTAGTAGCCAATCAGCTCCTGCATGAGCTGGCCCAGCATGCAGTGTTTCAGCAGTTTCTCCACATTATGCTTGTGCTCTGTAGCAAGAAACAAAGACAACCAAACTTACTAACACAGTCAACAACGTGTGTACAGGGTTTTATAAGTGTGTGTGTTGGGTGTCTTACCTTGGACGATGCCAGGTGTTGCCGTAGCATCCCCAACCTCGAAGTCGGCCATCATGCGACGGCGCAGGAACCGTAAGTAAAGCTCCGACCTGGCATTCATCAGAGTGACTTCCAGTAACACAGGATCCAGCTCCCTACACACACAGGTTAAACACAGGTGAAATGCAACATAAATACGCATAGTACACATGCATTGTCCTCTACACCAAAAAAGAACATTGAGTAATGCTGCTAAGTAGGCTGAACTCTCCCACTGACCTGGGTTCAATCCTCTCAGTGGGCACACTCTTCATCATGCTGCTCTGGACGATCTGAAACTGCAAGCAGAGACATTCCATTTAATAACACATTCTTAATATAGTCTGTAATAGAAAGATCTCATTAATTGAATGCAATTTACACACAGACCTTGTTGTGGTAGTCTCTCTGTTGGATGAACTTGTCAACTACTTTCTGGGCCTGTCGGTCACACTCCTGCTGCAGGTGAGTGATGAGAGTATACAGGTAGCCTGGACCGTAGTACGTCTCTACGATGGGCTGGTGGGTCTCCACAACACGAGCTATGCCTGAAACACACAAAATATTTCACAACCAATTCTATACAAACCAACACGTTTACAGACACGTCTAAAATGACACACAATCATCATGGTCAGTCTCTCACCCTCCAGCAGCAGAGTCAGGGTGTCAGCAAAGACCAGAGCAGCTCTCCTCTCTCCCAGCTCTCCTCCCACAGCCAAGAGCAGGTTCTCATCTGCTTTAGAGGCCAGCTGAGGGAGAGAAATAAACAACTGTGAAGATAAACAAATGCACAAGCATAAATGCTCACACATACACTACTGCATGGACAACCCCACTCACCTGGCTGCAGAGGTACTGGCCAAAGCGAGCCAGACCTTGCTCGTGGAGGCCAAGCAGAGGGAAGATTTTAAAGAATCTTTCCACCTGCGCCAGATCACCCCTGGTAACAGCCTCATCCAGTCTCTCAGCAACCAGGACTTTCAATCGCTGCTCTGCCTCTTGAAGCATGGCCAGGCTAGCGTCCACAGCACTGCCTGAGCAGAAGATAGTATCACAAACCGCACAGAACACGTTAGAAGGGACTGTGACAAAAACGCAATTGAAAGTAATGCAGGTCTTACTTTCTGCACATTACCTGATGAGCTTCCCTGATTTCCTGAACTTTCCAATACCTTTCTGATGCATTTCAGTAACTTTGTTCAAAGGTTTTACACCTTTCCCATATTCAAGTCATTTGACATATTTTCTTATTACCCTTATGAACATCAAAACTTAGTTGCAGTTTGTATCTGTGCTAGAATGGTTAGAAAGGCCATCAAATGAACAAATCCCACATCGGTGCATCCCTACAAAATATTATTTTTGATTAAAAAACTACTCCAGGCTACATTGAACGTCTAAAACCAGATAAAAGTACAGTCGTGGTCAAAAGTTTTGAGAATGACACAAGTATTGGTCTCCACAAAGTTTGCTGCTTCAGTGTTCTTAGATCTTTATGTCAGTAGTTACTATGGTACACTGAAGTATAATTACAAGTATTCCATAAGTGTCAAAGGCTTTCATTGACAATGACATTCAGTTTATGCAGAGTGTCAATATTTGCAGTATTGACCCTTCTTTTTCAAGACCTCTGCAATCCGCCCTGGCATGCTGTCAATTAACTTCTGGGCCACATCCTGACTGATGGCAGCCCATTCTTGCATAATCAATGCTTGGAGTTTGTCAGAAATTGTAGGTTGTTTGTTTGTCCACCCGCCTCTTGAGGATCGACCACAAGTTCTCAATGGGATTAAGGTCTGGGGAGTTTCCTGGCCATGGACCCAAAATGTTGATGTTTTGTTCCCCGAGCGACTTAGTTAACACTTTTGCCTTATGGCAAGGTGCTCCATCATGCTGGAAAAGGCATTGGTCGTCACCAAACTGTTCTTGGATGGTTGGGAGAAGTTGCTCTCAGAGGATGTGTTGGTACCATTCTTTATTCAATGATGTATTCTTAGGCAAAATTGTGAGTGAGCCCACTCCCTTGGCTGAGAAGCAACCCCACACATGAATGTCTCAGGATGCTTTACTGTTGGCATGACACAGGACTGATGGTAGCGCTCACCTTGTCTTCTCCGGACAAGGTGTTTTCCGGATGCCCCAAACAATCGGAAAGGGGGTTTCATCAGAGAAAATGACTCTACCCCAGTCCTCAGCAGTCCAATCCCTGTACCTTTTGCAGAGTATCAGTCTGTCCCTGATGTTTTTCCTGGAGAGAAGTGGCTTCTTTGCTGCCCTTCTTGAAACCAGGCCATCCTCCAAAAGTCTTCGCCTCACTGTGCGTGCAGATGCACTCACACGTGCCTGCTGCCATTCCTGAGCAAGCTCTGCACTGGTGGTGCTCCGATCCCGCAGCTGAATCAACTTTAGGAGATGGTCCTGGCGCTTGCTGGACTTTCTTGGGTGCCCTGATGCCTTCTTCACAACAATTGAACCTCTCTCCTTGAAGTTCTTGATGATCCGATAAATGGTTGATTTAGGTGCAATTTTACTAGCAGCAATATCCTTGCCTGAGAAGCACTTTTTGTGCAAAGCAATGATGACGGCACGTGTTTCCTTGCAGGTAACCATGGTTGACAGAGGAAGAACAATGATTTCAAGCACCACCCTCCTTTTAAAGCTTCCAGTCTGTTATTCTGACTCAATCAGCATGACAGAGTGATCTCCAGCCTTGTCCTCGTCAACACTCTCACCTGTGTTAACGAGACAATCACTGACACGATGGCAGCTGGTCCTTTTGTGGCAGGGCTGAAATGTTTTTTGGGATTAAGTTAATTTTCATTGCAATTAATTGCAATTAATCTGATCACTCTTCATGACATTCTGGAGTATATGCAAATTGCCATCATCAACACTGAGGCAGAAAACTTAGTGGAGATCAATACTTTTGACCCCGACTGTATGTAGAAATGATAATGGACCGTTCTATTTTTAAATAACTACTAATTATTTATCTTGACAAAACAAAATCGATCCCAAAAAGAAATCTCAATGCGGCCCTCGAGACAAAATGATTACCCACCTCTGCGCTATCAGGAAGTGTGTTGTGAGTAAGGTTGCAAAATTACGGGAACTTTCAATAAATTCCCTGGTTTTCCAGAAATCCTGGTTGGAGGATTCCGGATTTTCTGCTTATTATTGAAAGTTCCTGGAATTTTACAACCCTAGTTGTGAGGTGTGGTGGAACATAGGGGCACCCTTACTTTCTTCTCCCTGGCGGCTTAGTTCAATGACTGATTGGTCGAGAGAGAGATAGCGGTGGATGTGGGCGGCAGCCTGTTCATAGTCCTCATTGTGTAGCGCCGTCTGAACGCCATCTGTGCAGAACTTCAGGTCCAGGATGTCATCAGCCCGCTGGATAACCTTATAAAGCCGGGTCTGTAAACACACGTACAAACAGCGCGTCATTACATCACTCATTGGAGCTGATAGGAACACCATTTTATATCCTAATCCCTCTCTTAACGGCCTATAATGCTGATTTGTTTACATACATACAGTAAGTGTGTGATTAGCTAGGTTTCCATCCAATTGCGAATATTCAAAAATCTGCATAAAGAAGATATATACAGTTGAAGTCAGAGGTTTACATACACCTTAGCCAAATACATTTAAACTCAGTTTTTCCACAATTCCTGACATTTAATCCTAGGTCAGTTAGGATCACCACTTTATTTTAAGAATGTGAAATGTCAGAATAATAGTAGAGAGAATGATTTATTTCAGCTTTTATTTATTTCATCACATTCCAAGTGGGTCAGAAGGTTACATACACTCAATTAGTATTTGGTAGCATTGCCTTTAAATTGTTTAACTTGGGTCAAACGTTTCGGGTAGCCTTCCACAAGCTTCCCACAATAAGTTGGGTGAATTTTGAGCCATTCCTCCTGACAGAGATGGTGTAACTGAGTCAGGTTTGTAGGCCTCCTTGCTCGCACACACTTTTTCAGTTCTGCCCACACATTTTCTATAGGATTGAGGTCAGGGCTTTGTGATGGCCACTCCAATACCTTGACTTTGTTGTTCTTAAGCCATTTTGCCATAACTTTGGAAGTATGCTTGGGGTCATTGTCCATTTGGAAGACCCATTTACGACCAAGCTTTAACTTCCTGACTGATGTCTTGAGATGTTGCTTCAATATAGCCACATAATTTTCCTTCCTCATGATGCCATCTATTTTGTGAAGTGCACCAGTCCCTCCTGCAGCAAAGCCCCCCCACAGCATGATGCTGCCACCCCCGTGCTTCACGGTTGGGACGGTGTTCTTCGGCTTGCAAGCATACCCCTTTTTCCTCCAAACATAACTATGGTCATTATGGCCAAACAGTTCTATCAGACCAGAGAACATTTCTTCAAAAAGTATGATATTTGTCCCCATGTGCAGTTGCAAACCGTAGTCTGGCTTTTTTATGGCGGTTTTGGAGCAGTGGCTTCTTCCTTGCTGAGTGGCCTTTCAGGTATTGTCGATATAGGACTTGTTTACTGTGGATATAGATACTTTTGTACCTGTTTCCTCCAGCATCTTCACAAGGTCCTTTGCTGTTGTTCTGGGATTGATTTGCACTTTTCGCACCAAAGTACGTTCATCACTAGGAGACAGAATGTGTCTCCTTCCTGAGCGGTATGACGGCTGCGTGGTCCCATGGTGTTTATACTTGCGTACTATTGTTTGTACAGATGAATGTGGTACCTTCAGGCATTTGGAAATTGCTCCCAAGGATGAACCAGACTTGTGGAGGTCTACAATTTGTTTTCTGAGGTCTTGGCTGATTTCTTTTGATTTTCCCATGATGTCAAGCAAAGAGGCACTGAGTTTGAAGGTAGGCCTTGAAATACATCCACAGGTACACCTCCAATTGACTCAAATGATGTCAATTAGCCTATCAGAAGCTTCTAAAGCAATAACCTCATTTTCTGGAATTGTCCAAGCTGTTTAAAGGCACAGTCAACTTCGTGTATGTAAACTTCTGACCCACTGGAATTGTGATACAGTGAATTATAAGTCAAATAGTCTGTCTGTAAACTTCAAACTGTAACTAGTGCCTGCAACCTGGTTCAGGTTATCAGTCAACCTACCAGGGTAGTTACAAACAGCACAGGAATGTAATTGTCAACATGTATTGATCACATCTTTACTAATGCTGCAGAAATGTGCTTTAAAGCCGTATCCAAATCCATCAGATGTTGTGATCAAAATATAGTAGCCATATCTGGGAAAACCAAAGTTCCAAAGAGTGGGCCTAATATAGTGTGTAAGAGGTCATACAACACGTTTTGTAGTGATTCCTATGTTGTTGATGTAAATAATATTTGTTGGTCCGTGGTGTGTAATGAGGCAACCAGATGCGGCACTTGACACATTTATGAAATTGCTTATCCCGGTTACTAATAAGCATGCACCATTTAGAAAATGACTGTAAAAACTATTACATCTCTGTGGATTGATGAGGAATTGAAAAATGGTATGGTTGAGAGGGATGGGGCAAAAGGAATGGCAAATAAGTCTGGCTGCACAACCGATTGGCAAACATACTGCAAATTGAGAAATCATGTGACTAAACTGAATAAAAAAGAAGAAGAAACTACACTATGAAACAAAGATAAATTACAAAGAATGATAGTAAAATGCTTTGGAGCACCTTAAATGAAATGTGGGGCAAAAAGGCAAACTCAGCTCCATCATTCATTGAATCAGATGGCTCATTCATCTCAAAACCCACTGATATTGCCAACTACTTTAATGATTTTTTAATTGGCAAGATTAGCAAACTAAGGCATGACATGCCAGCAACAAACACTGACACTACACATCCAAGTATATCTGACCAAATTAATAAAGACAAGCATTGTAATTTTGAATTCCGTAAAGTGTGTGTGGAAGAGGTGAAAAAAGTATTGTTGTCTATAAACATTGACAAGCCACCGGCATCTGACAACTTCGATGGAAAATTACTGAGGATAATAGTGGACGATATTGCCACTCCTATTTGCCAGATCTTCAGTTTAAGCCTACTAGAAAGTATGTGCCCTCAGGCCTGGAGGGAAGCAAAAGTCATTCCGCTACCTAAGAATAGTAAAGCCCCCTTTATTGGCACAAATAGCCTACCAATCAGCCTTTTACCAACCCTTAGTAAACTTTTGGAAAAATGTGTGTTTGACCAGATACAATGCTATTTTACAGTAAACAAATTGGCAACAGACTTTCAGCACGCTTATAGGAAAGAACATTCTACAAGCACAGTACTTACACAAATGACTGATGATTGGCTGAGAGAAATTGATGATAAAAAGATTGAGGCTTTTGACATTATCAATCATAGTCTGCTGCTGGAAAAAACGTATGTGTTATGGCTTTACACCCCCTGCTATATTGTGGATAAAGAGTTACCTGTCTAACAGAACACAGAGGGTGTTCTTTAATGGAAGCCTCTCCAACATAATCCAGGTAGAATCAGGAATTCCCCAGGGCAGCTAAATATTTCAAAAACTAAAAGCATTGTATTTGGGACAAATAATTTGCCAAACCCTAAACCTCAACTAAATAATGTGGAAATTGAGCAAGTTGAGGAGACAAAACTGCTTGGAGTAACCCTGGATTGTAAACTGTCATGGTCAAAACATATTGATACAACAGTAGCTAAGAAGGGGAGAAGTCGATCCATAAGAAAGTGTTTCTCTGCCTTCTTAACAGCACTATCAACAAGGCAGGTCCTACAGGCCCTAGTTTTGTCGCACATGGACTACTGTTCAGTCGTGTGGTCAGGTGCACAAAGAGGGACTTAGGATAATTGCAATTGGCTCAGAACAGGGTAGCACGGCTGGCCCTTGGATGTACACAGAGAGCTAACATTAATAATATGCATGTCAATCTCTCCTGGCTCAGAGTGGAGGAGAGATTGACTTCATCACTACTTGTATTTGTGAGAGGTATTGACACGTTGGATGCACTGAGCTGTCTGTTTGAACTACTGGCACACAGCTCGGGCACCCTTGCATACCCCACAAGACATGCCACCAGAGGTCTCTTCACAGTCCCCAAGTCCAGAACAGACTATGGGAAGTGCACAGTACTACATAGCGCCATGACTACATTGAACTCTATCAAGTAACTCATGCAAGCAGTACAATTTTATTTAAAAAACAAATAAAAACACACCTTACGTAACAGCGGGGACTGTGAAGAGACAAACACAGGCACAGACACATGCATACACACACACTATAACATACGCACTATACACACACGTACACATGGATTTTGTGTTGTAGATATGTGGTAGTGGCCAGTGGGCACACAGGCCACAGCAGCAGCTAATATCAATATTTTTGCACATTTTCATCGCCATTTCTACAGGTCCCCTGTAGCTCAGTTGGTAGAGCATGGCGCTTGCAACGCCAGGGTTGTGGGTTCGTTTCCCACGGGGGGCCAGTATGAAAAATGTATGCACTTACTAACTGTAAGTCGCTCTGGATAAGAGCGTCTGCTAAATGACGTAAATGTAAAATGTAAATGTATAATTATTTTTACCGACACAAAAAGATCCACCATGTCGAAATTGTACTGAAACTTCCTGTTTCCATCACAGCTGTCATAACATTTTTTACACGGTATGACTTTACTCCCATAAAAACTGTGGATGGAAACGTGCTTTCTTTGAGTGAGTCTGTGTGTGTAAAGAGCGTGTCTGTAGACAGTACCTTTGCCAGGTCTAGCTGGCGGACTTTGCTGCTGACATTCTCTGCCAGGCTGCAGGTGAAGGTAATCATGCCAGACAGCTGACTGGCATCTCCTCCTATCAGCTGCAGGTTGGGCCTGGGGGACAACGTGACAGGAGAATTTATATTGGATTAGACATGGTATTTATCTCAATAGTCTACAGTAGCTTCCACAACTAATCTCCTTTCCTTCATCTATATTGATTTGAAATTGTTGAAAGCACAGTGGTGAATGTCTACCAGATATCGCTTTCCCCAGAGTCCATCTCTTCCACGCCAGTGCAAATGAAGGAAAGGAGATAAGGAAAGGAAACCTCTCTAGATTATTGGGATGTAGGGTATGTACTCAGACAGTGAAACTTCTCTCTGCCTCTCTAAAGTACACACACTTACCCCATCCTTTGAAGAGCGAGCATCTTGGTGTCAATGTTCCCCTGCTGCCCAACCAGCTTCTCCAGCTCAGTCTCCACCTCTTTCTGTAGTAGACGAACACACAAAGACCGTCAGTCTCTCTCTCACACACAGCGCTCTGTGGTTTCAGGCATTATAGCTTTAATGGGTCATTCCTCTTCAATATATAAAGGCAATGGATAATTGAGCAATAAGGTCCGAGGAGATTTGATATATAACCAATATACCACGGCTAAGGGCTGTTCTTCAACGCAACGCAGAGTGCCTGGACACAGTCCTTAGCCGTGGTATATTGGACATATACCACAGACCCCCAAGGTGCCTTATCATAAACTGGTTACCAACGTAATTAGAACAGTAAACCAGTATTTTTTTGTCATACCCGTGGTATACGGCCCATCAGCATTCAGGGCTTGAACCACACAGTTTCTAAGGCAGATAGAGTATAACGACAGAGAAGGATGCTTCTGGTTTAGCTAGCTATGCTAACACAGCCTAGGGGTACATCTTTGCATCCCTACAGCTTTCCCGCTGGGTGAATTCTCACCTCCTCGGTGCAGAGCTGCTGGTAGACACGCTCCAGATCATCCAGCTCCGTCAGAGCTGAGATAGCCTCCATGCTAACGGCAGATACACATGCAGAATCGCATCGCTTCGCAGCTATGTGGCTGCTCTCTGCCATCTTTACCTCACATAAACAGAAAACGTGTCACTTCCGCGGTCGCTCGCTCCGTACGTGCATGGGCGCATTTCCTAGAACAACCGCTAAGCGTCACTATTTTAGCAGGACTTAGCATAGCATAGGGGATTTCTGTTTGGTGATTATTTTTTTAATGCATTGCTTTCTCATAATTCATTTTTAAACAAATATCTTGCCATTCAATTCCCTCTGTGCCATGTCTGTTCTTGAAGTACTGGAATTCAGTATGTCTCCACCAAAACTCCAATAAATGCAATTCACTTCAAATACATTTGACAATGTGCCACTTCAAAGTTCACGAGGATGAACAATATCAGGATGAATAACAAAACAAGTCAGGACACAAGACTTTATTAAATCCACCATTTGACAACACTCTCCGAAATGATTTGTAAAGTGTTTAATATTGTGTTAGCACTCCACAACTGCATTGGGTTGCAGTGCTATAACGCCTTGTTTCTTCCCAGACTGTGTTGTCCAGAGTTTGGTAAAGGAAAGTCTATGGATGTTATTAATAGAGCCAGCGGTTGTTTTGTGGGTCTCTATTTCAGCAGAGCCCCAATAAGGACTTGCTAATCGTCACCCATGTCCACGTCTTCTTGTAACTTCTGCACCATCTTCTCCTCCATAACCTTGGCTTTGCCTACACATGGAAAACAAACTGATTAGCAAAGTTCTATATTTAATAATAATAATAATAATAATAATAATAAGCCATTTAGCAGACGCTTTTATCCAAAGCGACTTACAGTCATGCGTGCATACATTTTTTTTTTTGTGTATGGGTGGTCCCGGGGATCGAACCCACTACCTTAGCGTTACAAGCGCCGTGCTCTACCATCATTATACAAACTCAAAGTGGACTGAATGCCATCACCTAATTTCTCAAATTAATTATATATATATATATATATATATAATAAACAATGTAAAATCCTAACAGCAGTGAACTCACCTGCATGTGGGGCTTTGATGAGGTGAATGTTCTTCTTCACTTCGCTGATTGCTTCCTCCTTTTCCAACTGCTTGCCCTTCTTCAGTCTGATCGAGAAAGGAAGAGGAAATATGGCTAAATCAATCTGAAAACAGTGCTTAAAGGCATGTCAGACTCCAATACTTGGCAAAACTGGCCTTCTGTTAGCCTAGTTATTTTCCTACGACTCATAGTAATGTTATGAAGCAGGGACTGTGTAATTCAAGTTTAACTCACTCAACCAGATTTTACAGAATACAAATATTACCATTATAAAGTTGGAAAGCCCATGCTTTCCTAGTGTGAGCAACAATTTAATCTGTGGGGAAAAAGCTTGGGCTCACCTGTTGAAGATGAACTGTGCCTGCCGTTTCCGTTTTATTCCTTCCACCTTCCTCATCGCCTCCACTGAAAATAACAAAATGAGTTGGATTTAACAGCTCAACAAGGCTATTAACAAAATCCTAGCAGTTAGCTACAGCTGTCTTGATGTTATGCTGTAGTAGTAACATACACACCAACATGGAACATACAGTAACATGTATCATTTAAATGTGCAGAGGGCATGATCTCAATCTGTCATGTGAGAATTGACTTGAATAGAGTATGAAAACAATTGAAAGATGAGGGCAGGGGTGTAATTAGTAAGACCAAACGGGCCAAAACAGAAGCACCCCATCAGGGGTGTATTTACATTTTACATTTACATTTTAGTCATTTGGCAGACGCTCTTATTCAGAGCGACTTACAGGAGCAATTAGGGTTAAGTGCCTTGCTCAAGGGCACATCGACAGATTTTTCACCTAGTCGGCTCGGTGATTAGAACCAGCGACCTTTCGGTTACTGGCACTACGCTCTTAACCACTAAGCTACCTGCCGCCCATGTATTCATTACACCGATTCTGTTGCAAAACGTTTTGTAACAGAAACGGTTTACTCCAAGTGGGAAACGATGTGCAACGAAAACTAGAATTTCTATTGGACAAATTCAGGTAGGTCCCTCCCCGTTTCGTTCCTTTTGTTTGGTTCTTAAAATGGTAAACAGTTTCCGTTACAAGACGTACTGAATACAACCCTGACAATAGTTTTCATTGCAAAACGTTTTGCTACGGTTTGAACAAATAAATACACCCCTGGACTTTAGCCATAACAAGTACCTGTCTTGCTCCACAATTCCCTCTGGTATTTGACGGCCACATTTCTGCGCTTCTCGAACTCCAGGCAGTTATCCTGTGTTGGAAATAAATCAGTAAGAGACTCAAGGGCAAATCGTTTATGATTGTTTAACAATCATATCACATTCTATTTCACATCATTCTACAACTTGCATGGGTGGACGTGGGAACTCACCACTGTCAATTCTTTGCCAGTCGCTTTCCTGAAAGCCTTGGTCCATCTGGTCTTTCTTGGGTTACGCTTCTTCTTGAAGTTTTTGAGACATTTTGATTTACAAAACCTGAACGTCTGAGAATAGATATTAGTCATTACCTCATTTATACACAAGGTAGCAGCAACAAGAACTTGCCTATGGCTGGGCATGGAGAGACCCCCTCAATGTACAGGAAACACCACTACAGCTTTAGCAAAGTCAATGTCTCCTTCACTGCTGAGCGTGAAACATTTACATTACATTTTAGTCATTTAGCAGACGCTCTTATCCAGAGCGACTTACATATATATATATTTTTTTTATACTGGCCCCCTGTGGGAATCGAACCCACAACCCTGGCGTTGCAAACGCCATGCTCTATCAACTGAGCTACATCCCTGCCGGCCATTCCCTCCCCTACCCTGGACGACGCTGGGCCAATTGTGCGCCGCCCATGAGTCTCCCGGTCGCGGCCGGCTGCGACAGAGCCTGGATTCGAACCAGGATCTCTAGTGACACAGTTAGCACTGCGATGCAGTGCCTTAGACCACTGCGCCACTCAGGAGACACAGACTTCACTCGGCAACAATAACAAGCCTGCATGGCTATGAAACTGCACTGAAACGTTGAAAGATAGCTAAGAGGTGAAAAACAAAAAGGTTATCTGGCATAGTTGGGCACCAACTTCTTTATGTTAGCTACGGACGTTTTTAAAAAAAACATCCCAGCTGACAAAACAAGCTGGCTACAGTAGGAAGTTAGCAAAACAGCTAGCATATTAGCATGGAAGCCATCAAATCAGAAAGTAGGACATCAACAAACAAAAAACTCATACCTTGCAATCGTTTCGCACAAACATCGTACCGTGCCCAGGATACACAGGTCCCGAGCAAAAGTAACATTTTTCAATTCGCATTGTTAGATGTCTTGATTATTTCTTGCCCATGTGTTATCCGTGGTGGAACGCAAGTGGCAGGATTTTAAAAGGAAGTTACGATATACTATTTCCGGTAAATATATATTTTCATGTGTTTTTACTCGTTACAAACTGCCCCCTAGTGTGTAACTAGAGAAGTTTCTAAACCTTAGCGCTTGGAAAAGCACATTTTGTTTGTACAAATATTTGCATTATGTTACATATTGACTAGAACAAGATTGACACTAAATAATAAAATTGTTTCAGAGGTAGCCAAGGTGACAACTGAGACACAGCTTTAATAAATAATAAAATATATTTATTTTCTGGAATAAAGGATATGGTTTACATATTTGGCATAAAGAGTGTTTGGCATGAAAACAGTGTTTGAAAGAATACAGCAGATTTAAGGCACATTGTATGATACGAATTAACAAAATCAGCATTTATTTAACTGTAACCTCAAACATTTCTGATAATACACCCAAGATCCCGACATTGTGATAAAAATAAAGACACCAAACTATTCTGCTACGCGGATACCACAGAGCAGGCCTATACAATAAATCATCAGTCTATTCACTACAGATTGCATGTGCTCAGGACTTTTACATTGTACAAGAATAAATGGAAGTGCATTGTGACAAAAATATCCTGTGTCAAAATGTTCAATGTAATAAGGATGGGTTTCCTTTTAATACACAGGGCAGTGTTTTCAACTAATACAATTTCCAGTGGCTTCTCACTTTTCTACTGAATCTCAGAAAATAGTTACAATACACTTATGTTTTACAATCTAAAATACATACAATATTCTCTGAAATGAAACAAAAAAAGGCACTTAATTGACTGTGTATGGACAAGTGTATGGAGAGGCACCACACCAAATGGCATAATCAAATGAACAAAACATAATAATGCTTTGGTACATTTGGCAGGGGTTAGTTGCATTCAGCTTTGCACGTCATACCCCCCCCCCCCCCCCCCCATCTTGCCCAAACTTCCTATGACACCATTGATTTACAAATATTACATGCCTTTCATCACTTGCCATACAGCCCAGTCCTACCAAAACATCACTGAGGGGAACTGAAGGTGTAACCATTATCTGTATGTGGACTCTAACAAGCACATTTGCCCTTCTCCTGGGTCTTGGGCTCTGTGATGTCTGTGTGACCACTGTGTCCGTTAGATCGCACGGTTCCGTCAGGGATCCAGGACTTGTCCACGCAGCGCTCCATCCTCTTCATGATGAGGTCCAGCAGGACATCCACAGCCTGGCTAACAAACTGCCCGTTAGCTGCACTTGTTTCAAAGTAAGGGATTCTGCACGGGAAGGAGAGCAACACATTATAAGGTCAACATTGACTGATATTTATCTTAATGAGGCATACTATCTACCTACAACCTGAATATGTTTGGATCTAATTGAAAGCTTTACTTTAAGACAGAATATAGTTCTCAGCAGTTGAAAAGAAATCAAGGTTGAAAAAACAAAACTGTTTGGGTGTCCTTTGTTTTTCGTCATGAAACATGCATTAGTGCTACAGCAGTGGAAGATAAATCTTTAAAATAGTAGAGGAGCATGGCTCTCTAAAAACCACAATGGCTTTCAGACTGGTGGAGCCATGGGTTCAAATAACGTTAAAAAAAATATGAACACTGTAACCAAATCTGACATATGAGTCATATCTAGTCAACCATGACAACTCAATATGATGTGTGACCTTTCCAGGGTAAGAATGCTGTTAATTAACTATAGCTCAGCATTCAACACCATAGTACCCTCCAAGCTCATCATTAAGCTCGAGGCCCTGGGTCTGAACCCCGCCCTGTGCAACTGGGTCCTGGACTTCCTGACGGGCCGCCCCCAGGTGGTGAAGGTAGGAAACAACATCTCCACTTCGCTGATCCTCAACACTGAGGCCCCACAAGGGTGCGTGCTCAGCCCCCTCCTGTACACCCTGTTCACCCATGACATGGCCAAGCACACCTCCAACTCAATCATCAAGTTTGCAGACGACACAACAGTATTAGGCTTGATTACCAACAATGGCGAGACCGCCTACAGGGAGGAGGTGAGGGCTCTGGGAGTGTGGTGCCAGGAAAATAACCTCTCACTCAATGTCAACAAAACAAAGGAGATGATCGTGGACTTCAGGAAACAGCAGAGGGTGCACCCCCGTATCCACATCGACGGGACCGCAGTGGAGAAGGTGGAAAGCTTCAAGTTCCTTGGCGTACACATCACCGACAAACTGAAATGGTCCACCCACGCAGACAGTATGGTGAAGGCGGCGCAACAGAGCCTCTTCAACCTCAGGAGGCTGAAGAAATTCGGCTTGGCACCTAAAACCCTCACAAACTTTTACAGATGCACAATTGAGAGCATCCTGTCGGGCTGTATCACCGCCTGGTATGGCAACTGCACCGCCCGCAACCGCAGGGCTCTCCAGAGGGTGGTGCGGTCTGCCGAACACATTACCGGGGGCAAACTACCCGCCCTCCAAGACACATACAGCACCCGATGTCACAGGAAGGCCAACAACATCATCAAGGACATCAACCACCCGAGCCACTGCCTGTTCACCCCGCTATCATCCAGAAGGCGAGGTCAGTACAGGTGCATCAAAGCTGGGACAGAGAGAATTAAAAACAGCTTCTATCTCAAGGCCATCAGACTGTTAAATAGCCATCACTAGCACATTAGAGGCTGCTGCTGCCTATTGAAATCACTGGCCACTTTAAGAAATGGAACACTAGTCACTTTAATAATGTTTACATATCTTGCACTACTCATCTCATATGTATATACTGCATTCTATTCTATAATATTCTACTGTATTTTAGTCCATGCCGTTCTGTCATTGCTTGTTCATATATGTATATATTCTTAAATTCCATTCCTTACTAGTTTTGTGTGTATTGGGTATATGTGTGAAATTGTTAGATATTACTTGTTAGATATTACTGCACTGTCGGAGCTAGAAGCACAAGCATTTCGCTACACCCGCTATAACATCTGCTAAACACGTGTATGTGACAAATACAATTTGATTTGATTTAAACAAAACTGTCTGGAAGAGAGACTTCAGACTCCTCTGTTTAGTAAGGAGATTGATGGCTGGCTACCTGTATGATATTCGGCAATAACACTATGACTAGGCCATGTAAATCAGATTACCTCTCCTAAAACTTTGTTGTCACTTAGATATTGTCATGGCACAAGATAACCATTCAGCTCATCATAAAAGTTTTTGACACAACATGATCATAACTTTACTAGGCACTGGGGGCTCCATTTTCGGCTGGCCTTAAGCAGAACGGCTCATAATAATGGCCGGAACGGAGCAAATGGAACAGCATCAAACACCTGGAGCCCGCGTGTGTGATACCATTCCACCAATTCTGCTCCAGTCATTACCACGAGCCCGTTCTCCCGAATTAAGGTGGGGATTTTTAAGACCAACCGAAAGCTGGTCGTTATGGCATGGATTTTGACAACGGAAGCCAGCCTATCCAGCCGAGACGCACAGTACCCATACGAACATGGAATAAGAGATAATGCTTTTTGTGCCCATGAACCTCGTATTTAGAAACATAAAAAACGGTGTTTCCCCCCCAATTTCGTTTAATTAAAACCCAAGCATAGCCTCCCGTCCTCTCAATTAAGTCTTTTTTTTGTCCTGCCAATTCATTCGCCAAGTAGTCAAGACTATCGATAAAGTGTTTGCCTATTATATTATTTTAGCCAGCTCCGGTTATTATTTTGGATGTAGGCTATATGCCCATCATGGAACGAGAGATTAGATAATCCGTTGACACTCGTATTTAGAAACATTTAAATTATTTCCGTGTAACAATTGCTTGTTTTCCCTTTCGTTTGATTAAAAAACAAGCTACCCTTACCCTACTATAACGAAAGCTGGTTCAACAGCAATACATCTGATGAAGTCTTTCTTATCCTGGCCATGCATTCGCCAAGTCGCCTATACATAAAACGTTTCTAAATGGTCTACTAATGAGGCTTTTGCATTCATTATTCACAATTCAGATAGGCCTACCTGCAGTGCATGCTCCATTCGACTTGTATCCATCCCAATTTCCAAAGAGCGCCTCTTTTCCAGTTACCAAAGACACGCTCCTTCAAACTTATTAAAATGTTTCTGTCCTATAATGCAGGATCAACGGTAGGCCTAGGCTATATTTTGCTTATTGAGAATGTGCCTCACACAAACAATACAATTTAAGGGAGCCTTGTATTTTTTATTTTATAAGTGCGATACCTAAAGGCCTATACTCATTGAAGCCAATTATAACAATGTTGACTTAACACGCCAAACATATTGAGCAAACACTGGATGTTTTTTTTTCTCCTGTTGCTATTTATGCTATTGAATAAACTGTAGTATTAATCTACAATGGCCTAGGACAGAATATTCCGTGCCACCAGCCGAATTGATGAGTTGAGTTGATGACAATGCAAAGACCTTCAATAACCTACAGAATTGAGAAACAAATGCAGTCTTGATTGGCCAGTGAGTGGCCAAGTTATCCTCACACCTACAACTTGTTTATTCATCAAAACCCAGCCATTTCCTGCCACCGCCAGCTATTGCACTCATAATAAGCTGTGAAAATAGCAAAAATATTTCTGACACACCCCTCAACCTTACAGTATAGAGCTATCGCCAGCGCTTACATTTACCATTGCATTACATGCTGACCACACTGCCCGCGTTGCGTGCGTCAATGAGCGCCTGCATACCCAGGTGCTAAAATAGAATTTGGTTCTATTTTGATGCTTGAGGCGCTGCAAATCCCGCCTCTCCCATCTCCTCATTGTTTTTTTAGGTGCTTATTCCCACGTGGGTGATTGAAAGATGAACTCCAGTCAAAGTTGGTTGCCAAACCCCATATAAGATTACTAGAAACTAACTAGGTTTCCCCTTTTATCTGTGGATTAATTGTTGGAGTAAACACACGATTTTGTGTGACTCAAAATGGGTCAAAATTCTACAAAGATCTACAAAAAAGGACCTTATGCATTGTGCAATGTTTATATCCCAGGGCAAATTAGCTAGCAACAGCAAGCTACCTAGCTAAATGTCCATGAATGTTTCATGTGTTTTGACCAGTCCCCAAATTAATATAGTTGGTTCAGAGTTCGTTTTGATATTTCAACATGCGTGTCCTGATCTTGTCTGGTGTGGATGGACAAAATCAACATGCGTGCGATGCCACTCGTGTATGCCAGGTCTAGTCAGCATGTTAGGTTTGTTAAAATAAAGGCCATAGTCTCTTACAACATGGCTTTTGACCCCAAATATGGTGCATTTGTTAGTTTTAGCAAAACATAGGAGGTCCATATATAATCCCTTTGTATTCACTAAATGTGTATCTTCAGGTCACAAGCAGGATACTTTACATGGGTGTGTAAATATTTGCCTTTCCAGAAGGACCAACCTAGCCTAACATTTAGTATCGTTCGAGATTGCCCTGCACAGTCTTGTGTAAACACACATCAGCCACTGCCTTCTTGGCAAATGTTTCAGCGAGGGTTAGGCACAGGCAAGGGACACATACCCATACTTCTCTGCCAGCTCACGGGCCTCATCTTCACGGACTGCCCTCTGCTCCTGCAGGTCACACTTGTTGCCACAGAGTACAATGTCTGGATTCTCGCAGTAAGCATGCATCTGTAATTGGCCTGAAAAAGAGAATAAGCCAGTCATCAGCCCACCAGTTGCGATTTAAAGATAGTGGTTAAGACACTGCACACACCTTTAGAAGTCAATAGGAGACTCAAGAGATTGTACATGTAGATTCTGACAACCACAGAGGACTTACTCATCCAATTTCTGACATTGAGGAAACTCTGCTCATTGGTGAGGTCAAACAGGAGGAGGAAGCCCATCGCATCTCGGAAGAAAGCTGTTGTCAAACTCCGAAACCTGACACCACACAAGAAAAAACACCTTGTAAAGAGCTTCATTCAGCTTGGAGAAAGTAAGCATTTGAAAGCTGCCAACAAATACCTGAGAGCCAGTGAGGGCTTGAGCAAGAGTGTCAGTGGGAGATGAGTTTTTGAATTGGCTTACCTCTCCTGTCCTGCCGTGTCCCACAGCTGAACATGAATCCTCTGTCCTCTGCCTGCTGCCCCGTCTGGACCATTTGATTTGTATACCTGTCAGACAGAGAGAGAGTTATTATACCCATATAAAGCAGTGGGAGGTCATCTGGCTATGAGGCCCTAAAAATATATTTTCCCATTAGTCATCCTACATATACTATCTTGCAACCCAAAGAGAACCTAAACATTTAGATGGAAAAATGTTTGCCCTGATAATCTCTACAATATACACGGCATGAGTGATTATGCCTAAATTACCCTGGTGTTTGGTTATGTGGTGTGAAGTGTTTATTTTCTAGGAGGGTGCTGCTGAACTAAAGTGATATTAGTCATCCTTTCCTGGTCTGGGAGTTCCTCAGATTCCTGCAACACCCACACATAATACTACATCTGCAGGTTCATATGTTTCAGACCCGCCCCCCCCAAAAAAAATATATATACCGCTCTATCTTTTGCACTATGAGGAGTAATGTTTTGAAGCTGCTACTTACTTTCCATGGTTAATAGTAAACCTGCACTACAAAACATTTCACATGGAATGGAATAATTGGCCATTTCAAATGTTAACTCTTTCAACCAAGCAGCATACTAATTGGTCATTATGGGTGGCAGGGGAGCACCTGTATGTGAATAATTAAATTAATGATCAGACACACGCAAATGTTTTTAATGACAAATTGTATGACTAGGGCAATCAACTTACCACTCGTTTTTCTCTGAAATCGATGCCCACTGTAGTGATGAATTTAGAGTTAAACTTTTTGTCTGTGTACTGGTAGAGAAAGCTGGTTTTCCCCACTCCAGAATCACCAAGGGCTAGGAATTTGATGAGGTAATCATAGTCCCCATCAGACATAGTGAGTGCTTATTTCAGACCTGAAAACCAGACAAAGAAACCAAACAATGAAGGAAGCAATTTACAAACTGTGCACATATCCTGATGCAAATTTAAAACAGAGACTGTAGATAATAATTTGTAAACTACACTATATATACAGAAAAGTATGTGGACACCACTTCAAATTAGTGGATTCAGCCATTTCAGCCACACCCGTTGCTGACAGGTGTATAAAATCGAACACACAGCCATGCAATCTCCATAGACAAACATTGGCAGTAGAATGGCCTTACTGAAGAGCTCAGTGACTTTCAACGTGGCACCGTCATAGGATGCCACCTTTCCAACAAGTCAGTTCGTCAAATTTCTGCCATGCTAGAGCTGCCCCGGCCAACTGTAAGTGCTGTTATTGTGAAGTGGAAACGTCTACGAGCAACAATGGCTCAGCTGCAAAGTGGTAGGCCACACAAGCTCAGAGAACGGGACCATAAAAATCATCTGTCCTCGGTTGCAACACTCATTACTGAGTTCCAAACTGCCTCTGGAAGCAACGTCAGCACATGAACTGTTCGTCGGGAGCTTCATGAAATGGGTTTCCATGGCCGAGCAGCCGCACACAAGCCTAAGATCACCATGAGCAATGCCAAGCGTCAGCTGGAGTGGTGTACAACTTGCCGCCATTGGACTCTGGAGCAGTGGAAACACGTTCTCTAGAGTGATGAATCAAGCTTCACCATCTGGCAGTCTGACGGACGAATCTGGGTTTGGCGGATGCCAGGAGAACGCTACCTGCCCCAATGCATAGTGCCAACTGTAAAGTTTGTGGAGGAGGAATAATGGTCTGGGGCTGTTTGTCATGATTCGGACTATGTCCCTTAGTTCCACAGTGAAGGGAAATCTTAACGCTACAGACGATTCTGTGCTTCAACTTTGTGGCAACAGTTTGGGGAAGGCCCTTTCCTGTTTCAGCATGGCAATGCCCCTGTGCACAAAGCGAGGTCCATACAGAAATGGTTTGTCGAGATCGGTGTGGAAGAACTTGACTGGCCTGCACAGAGCCCTGACCTAAACCCCATCTTACACCTTTGGGATGAATTGGAATGCCGACTGTGAGCCAGGCCTAATCGCCCAACATCAGTGCCTGACCTCACTAATGCTCGTGGCTGAATGGAAGCAAGTCCCCGCAGCAATGTTCCAACATCTAGTGGAAAGCCTTTTTAATTTTTTTATTTAACCTTTATTTAACCAGGTAAGCCAGTTGAGAACAAGTTCTCATTTACAACTGCGACCTGGCCAAGATAAAGCAAAGCAGTGCGATAAAAACAACAACACAGAGTTACATATGGGGTAAAAAAAACATAAAGTCAAAAATACAACAGAAAATATATATACAGTGTGTGCAAATGTAGCAAGTTATGGAGGTAAGGCAATAAATAGGCCATAGTGCAAAATAATTACAATTAGTATTAACACTGCAATGATAGATGTGCAAGAGATGATGTGCAAATAGAAATACTGGGGTACAAATGAGCAAAATAAATAACAATTTAGGGATGAGGTAGTTGGGCGGGCTAATTTCAGATGGGCTGTGTACAGGTGCAGTGATCGGTAAGGTGCTCTGACAACTGATGCTTAAAGTTAGTGAGGGACATAAGAGTCTCAAGCTTCAGAGATTTTTGCAATTCGTTCCAGTCATTGGCAGCAGAGAACTGGAAGGAATGGCAGCCAAAGGAGGTGTTGGCTTTGGGGATGACCAGTGAGATATACCTGCTGGAGCGCATACTACGGATGGGTGTTGCTATGGTGACCAATGAGCTAATATAAGGCGGGGATTTGCCTAGCAGTGATTTATAGATGGCCTGGAGCCAGTGGGTTTGGTGACGAATATGTAGTGAGGACCAGCCAACAAGAGCGTACAGGTCACAGTGGTGGGTAGTATATGGGGCTTTGGTGACAAAACGGATGGCACTGTGATAGACTACATCCAATTTGCTGAGTAGAGTGTTGGGGGCTATTTTGTAAATGACATCGCCGAAGTCAAGGATCGGTAGGATAGTCAGTTTTACGAGGGCATGTTTGGCAGCATAAGTGAAGGAGGCTTTGTTGCGAAATAGGAAGCCGATTCTAGATTTAACTTTGGATTGGAGACCAAGGCTATTTAGTCTGCCAATAAGAATGCGGTGGTTGACAGAGTCGAAAGCCTTGGCCAGGTCGATGAAGACGGCTGCACAGTACTGTCTATTATCGATCGCGGTTATAATATCGTTTAGGACCTTGAGCGTGGCTGAGGTGCACCCATAACCAGCTCGGAAACCGGATTGCATAGCGGAGAAGTTATGTTGGGATTCGAAATGGTCGGTGATCTGTTTGTTAACTTGGCTTTCAAATACTTTTGAAAGGCAGGGCAGGATGGATATAGGTCTGTAACAGTTTGGATCTAGAGTGTCACCCCCTTTGAAGAGGGGGATGACCGCAGCAGGTTTCCAATCTCTGGGGATCTCAGACGTTACGAAAGAGAGGTTGAAGAGGCTAGTAATAGGGGTTGCGACAATTTCGGCAGCTAATTTTAGAAAGAAAGGGTCCAGATTGTCTAGCCCAGATGATTTGTAGGGGTCCAGATTTTGCAGCTCTTTCAGAACATCAGCTGTCTGAATTTGTGTGAAGGAGAAGCGGGGGGGGGGGGGGGGGGGCATGGGCAAGTTGCAGCGGAGGGTGCAGAGCGCAGAGCTGGTGGCCGGGGTAGTGGTAGCCAGGTGGAAAGCATGGCCAGCCGTAGCAAAATGATTGTTGAAATTCTCGATTATTGTACATTTATCGGTGGTGATAGTGTTTCCTAGCCTCAGTGCAGTGGGCAGCTGGGAGGAGGTGCTCTTATTCTCCATGGACTTTACAGTGTCCCAAAACCTTTTGGAGTTAGTGCTACAGGATGCACATTTCTGTTTGAAAAAGCTAGCCTTTGCTTTCCTAACTGCTTGTGTATATTGGTTCCTAACTTCCCTGAAAAGTTGCATATCGCTGGGGCTATTCGATGCTAATGCAGTACACCACAGGATGTTTTTGTGCTGGTCAAGGGCAGTCAAGTCTGAGGAGAACCAGGGGCTATATCTGTTCTTAGTTCTGTATTTTTTGAATGGGGCATGCTTATTTAAGATTGAGAGGAAATTACTTTTAAAGAACAACCAGGCATCCTCTACTGACGGAATGAGATCGATATCCATCCAGGATACCTGGGCCAGGTCAATTAGGAAGGCCTGCTCGCTAAAGTGTTTTAGGGAGTGTTTGACAGTGATGAGGGGTGGTCGTTTGACCGCGGACCGGTTACGGACGCAGGCAATAAGGCAGTGATCGCTGAGATCCTGGTTGAAGACAGCAGAGGTGTATTTAGAGGGTAAGTTAGTCAGGATGATATCTATGAGGGTGCCCATGTTTACGGATTTAGGGTTGTACCTGGTAGGTTTGTTGATAATTTGTGTGAGATTGAGGGCATCTAGTTTGGATTGTGGCTTTAAGAACTGGTCTTCTAGTGCGTTGGGTACAGAGAATAAAGGGGGCAGATTTCCGGGCGTTGTAGAATAGATTCAGGGCATTATGTACAGACAAGGATATGGAAGGATATGAGTACAGTGGAGGTAAACCTAAGTGTTGGGTAACAATGAAAGAGATAACATCACTGGAGGCACCGATTGAGCTGGTCTCGGCGTGTATGGGGGGGTGGAACAAAGGAACTATTTGAGGCAGTTTGAGAGGGACTTGGGGTTCTACAGTGAAATTGTATAATAAGAACTAACTGGAACAGCAATAGGCAAGGCATATTGACATAGGAGAGGTATAAAGCATCACAGGTGTTATTAGAGAGAGCTAAGACAACAACTGGTAATGGCGATAAAGTTTGGGCCGAGGCTAAACAGATAAACAGGACACCGTGTAAAGGAACAGTCCAGCAGGCATCAGCTGAGTGATCATAAGGTCCAGTGAACAGCAATATGTGAGTCCGAGAGCAGTTCGAATTTGTGCCACAGCACAGGCGAGCAGGAAGAAGAAGGCTTCCCAGAAGAGTGGAGGCTGTTATAGCAGCAAAGGGGGGGACCAACTCCATATTAATGCCCATGATTTTGGAATGAGATGTTGGACGAGCACGTGTCCACATACTTTTGGTCATGTAGTGTATTTCAAATTCAGAAAAATTTAATTAAATCATGAGCACATTTTCTGAAGGGTTTCTATTACATAATCACAACATAAAAAAACGGTTCCCATTGCTTTAAAAAGTGTTGATTTTTCCGCTAGCAGGATACATTTTAGAACTATGTTGGAGACAGACACCCCTCTGTCTGTCTTGAGAGTCTAGCCTGCAGCTCTTTTGTCATGGTCATGTTGTAAGTATTCTGACACAGTAACAGGAAACACACATTTTTTATCTGAAAGAAAACTAAATTTGCCTCCAAGCATGTTCAATAAGGAAACAGAAAATAAATACTCAAACTCAGATCCTGCTATAGCCCCATCCGCAGTAAACTTTCACCTGCTTGCTTGGTAAAAGTGGATAGTCTCCTATTTGGGGCAACTGTTACAGATTGAAACTCTATATGAGAGGATTAATTGGCGGTAATTAGGCAAATAAGACCAAGAATTACGCAATTGATCAACGGACTGTAAAAATTCACAAGAAAAACTAGTTCTTCCATAGAGTTGTCAAAATTGAGTTCAAATTGTATTGAGCGTTGTCTGGGCATCTGGAGTTTTCACTGGCATGATTGGTCATGGTCCATAAATAGTTTGTGTAAACAAATCAGAATTAATCAATGTGTTTTTGATAGATACAAAATGTATTACACAAAGCTATAGTGCCATGCATTACTACAGAGTTATTATATCATAGCTAGAAAGTTGAGGCCTGTGAATGAGAAAGAATATCGTGGACACAAGATGAGCTGAACACAGACACCCATCAAATTATATTCAAGGGAACAAGCTGGGTGTGATTCCCACTGAAAGCAGAGTCCATCATATGACCACAGCATGGAAAGGCATTCAGACACGT